CCAGGTATCAGGAATCCCTGCCCTTTTTTTGCTTATGTTCAGTATCTTAAGCTATTGGTTCTATACATATGCATGTGTGTGTGTGTGTATACATACACAGTCTAGCTTTTGAGTTGTTTCAAAAATGGAGGAAATCTCACTTCTGTTACACATCTTGACTGAACATATAAGGCTATTAGTGTGGGTCTAAAGAAAGTCTTAGATAGCCATGGTTCTTTGATTCATTCTAGGTATCCAGACAGGAGTCAAGTCTTTCTTTTTAATCTTTAAATAAATTGTACAAAACAAAGTTAAGCCCTAGTATGATACCTCTTCTGAATTGCTTGGATTCTTTTTATAGTCTTTCCTAGAAGTAGTCTTCATTTTTAAAGAGTTTATTATCATTTTTCACATGTATAGAGTGAAAATTCAGCCTAATTCAGAATTTCTGGGTGTTTCCCAAGCCTTCAAAAAGGAAGACACCAGAAAAGGAAAGAGGGTTAAGTTAAACTTTGGCTGTACGCTAAAAACACCCACAACTGACTAGCAAGCCATAGTGGGATTGCCTTTCTCGGTTATCCAGTCAAATCCCTTTTTGGGGTACAGTAAGTCATAGTTCCTCTTTATATTTGATGGAACTGTCCCCTTGATTTGCACCTGTGATCATGAGCTTTTTGATGTGTTCTTTTTGTGGTATAGTTGGTACTATACAACATAAGATTGAGTTTCTCATAACCTTCAAGAAGCATAAATATTCTGTTCTATTGCTTTGAAAATAGTTGATTCTTTGTGCACTTTTCTTACCTTAGAGAGTGTACCGTGTGTGTACTTTGTTTACCTTTTCCTTGAGAAAGAGTGCATACTGAAAAGTATATATAAACTAGTTTATTCATAGTGAAAGAAGAGACTTTACAGAACTTTGATCTAAAACGCACTACTCATTATAGCATAGCTTTTATTTTGTTTTTTTGTAGAATCATCATTTTGTGACTTTTAGGAATAATTGTATGCTCTTTTTTGGTATGTGCAAATTCCTTATTTATAGAAAAATTTTGTTTTTGCTCTTTTAATTATTTCATGTGTATTTATATATATATGTGTGTGTGTGTGTGTGTGTGTACATGCTGCTTGAAACACTGTGAGATGACCCCTACAGTTAAGCAAATTAACCTCTTGTTAGCTACCATGATTGTGACCTGAAATTTACTCAGCAAATTTGAACAATACAGTACTTGGCTATTACCTGTAACCTTCACATGGTGCACTAGATCTCTGAGTCTGTTCATCTTACATAAGTGAGTGAAAAGTTGTCTGTTGCTTTACAGTTCTGCATGCAAGATTGTAGTATTTGTTATGTTCCCTTTGTACATCTGGTTTGTTTCACTTAGCATAATGTCCTATAGGTTCATCCTTGTTGTGCTAATGTTGTTTTCTTAAGGCTGGAAAATTGTGTGCGTGCACACATGCATATATGCATGTGTCATGGCCATATACACATCACAATTTCATTCATCCATGAATGGACAACTTAGATTGTTTCCATGCCCTGACTAATGTGAATAAAGCTACCATGAACATGGAAACATATGTCCATGAGGTAATCATTTACATCCTTTTGGGTCCCCAAAGAGGGATTTAGACAGTCATTTACCTGCTATACTGTTGTTATCTGTAATAGCCATACTAAATTACATTGGGACCAACAGTATACAAAGGTTGCCTTGTCTCCATGCTCTTGGCAGACTTTTTCTTTTATAACAACCTTAATTGCAAGTGTTTTTTGCTTTTTTCCTTTGTAGTTAATTTCATTTCCTTAGCAATTACCTTTTCACATTTATTGGCTATGATTGTATTTTTTGTCTATTCAAGTATCTTTATTTCTGGGCCCTTTGTTTTATTTCATTAGTCTATTTGGATTATACACTACTGGGTTTATAACGATGTTATAATTGGAAAAGAGAGTTTGCTGTCTTAGGCTTTTTCTTTCTTGAAATGAATTTTAGCCTGTCACAGTTGGCAGGCTTGGGTAGGAGACTTTTTTGTGCCCAGGAGTTAAAGCATAGCAACTGGATAACATGCAGATTGCATCATAAACAAAGATGATGACTTTATTTGTATCTTTAATTTCTTTCATCGGTGTTTAATAATGTTCAGTGTACAGATCTTTACAGATCTTTCGTTTCCTTTGTTAAATTTGTTCTTAAGTATTTTGTTAATTTTGCTGCTGTGGGAAATGGAATTGTTTCTTGATTTCAAATAGTACTGGTGAAAAGAAAAGCAGCTGATTTTTTTGGGTGCCTTACTGAATTTTTTTTTTTGAAATCTTTAGTGTTTTTGCATGTTAACTACAAATAGGTAATTTTACTTGCTTTCTTTTTCTTTTTTTTTGTCGGTCCTAGGGCTTGAACTCTGGGCTTGGGCGCTGTCCCTCAGCTTTTCGGCTCAAGGCGAGCACTCCACCACTTGAGCCACAGCACCATTTCTGGTTTTCTGGTGGTTTATTGGAGATGAGAGTCTCACGAACTTTCCTGCCCGGGCTGGCTTTGAACCGTGATCCTCAGATCTCAGCCTTCTAAGTAGCTAGGATTACAGGCGTGAGCCACCGGCGCCCAGCCAATTTTACTTATTTCTTTGGGGCTTGGATTACTCCCCTCTTTTTTATCTTTTATTGTTCTTGCTATAGTAATTACAGTTCTTCATTGAATAGAACTGGTGATACGACATCCTAATTTATGCCACATCTTAGTGGAATTGTTTCGGGTTTTCTATTTGACTCTAATGTTAGCTTTGGTAATTCTCATTCCGTTGACACTATTTTCTTGTGTATCTATTTTGTTGAGCTTTTTTTATTAAAATATGAGAGCTTTTTTTGCATTTACTGAGATGATCAATGTATTTAACTTTCTGATATATAACATTGACTGGTTTTGTTTCTCTGTGATAAATCATACTTCATCTTGGGTGGCATATAATCTAGATGTATTGTTGAATTCAGATTTCTTTTGTTGGAGATTTTTGCAAATGTGTTCATAATGGTCTGTAGGTGCCTTTGTCTGGCTTTGGTATCAAGAGGAAAATATCCTCATAAGTTTGGAAGTATACCTGTCCTTTCAATTTAGGGAAGAATTTAAAGGTTGGTATTAATTGGCTCACATTTAATAAGGGAAGTTAAGGTTCGTTTTATGATTCTCTCCATTCTATGACAGCTAGAGTTAAAGCAGATAATGTGTAATGCTGTTTAAATTGTGTGATGTTGCTAACCTCGTGTAAGGAAATGGACAAACCAAACGTGCTATCTTACTTTGAATTTTGTTAAGGTATGAAATTGACTTATAGTACATTTGCTCACTAGTTTTTGTGGTAAGTTATTTGAGATTTAATGTTTATGATTCTTGAGTGTCGGGCACTGGTAATATATTTACGGGTTTTTATGTTTCATCAACTGTTTACATTACCTGCCAGTGCTTTTAATACCATTTTCTTCTGCTAGTCAGACTTCATTCTTCAACCTTTGATATGAATAGATGTCCATGTTCTAGATAAAGTCAAAACTACTGGGATTGAAACTAGTACTGCTAACCACTGTAGCAGTAGGTGGATGAGAAAAAAGATAGGTATAGATTCAAGTGGTCTTATAGATTTGCTCCTAGGAAGTTGTATTGTGATATTGTTGTCTCTTGGGTAAGAGAGAAGGAAGGATATGCTGCTCAAGATAGTTGGCTTGAGTAGTGGTGTTCTAAGAGTCTGATATTGAATGGTGATTAGTTATGAACCGTCGAGTGAGGGTGAAAGAAAGTGCTCACGTTGACTTTTTCGTGATGCATTAGTTCTTTTTTTTTTCACCTAACAAAATATCTCTTTGAATTTTAGCATATAGTAAATATTTGCTGTCCCTTTTTGTCACTATAATTGTTCTTCCTTTTTCATGCTGTCGTGAGAGCTTTTCCAATGGGTTAGATTTCTAGGAGTTCATCTCTTCAAATCAAATTACCCCTGAAGATATATTTAATTGAACATGACAGTAAATGCACAATGTATTATTGTAGGATTTTGTTGCTGAACTGGAATTTTGAACTAAAGCATGTGCTCACATGTCCTGAGGCTTGAACTCAAGGCCTGGAGTGCTGTCCCTGAGCTTAGCTTTTTTCTTCCCCCAAGGCCACTTGACACAGCTCCACTTCTAGCTTTTTGGTGGTTAAGAGATAAGTCTCACAGACTTTCTTGCTTGGGCTGGCTTCAAACTGCAGTCCTCAGATCTCAGCCTCCTGAGTAGTTAGGGTCAGCACACTGATTTCAAGCCCTAGGACAGGCTTTAAAGGGGGAAAATATATATATCTACTCAACATTTAGCACTTGCCTAGATAGTATGCACAAGTGTCCCTAAGTTTTAGGGCATGAAAAAACCTTGTTCTCTGACATGTGTTTATACTTTATATGATTTTTTAAATGTATATGTGGAATTTACACTAACTTTAATTGTTCTGCTTCTATTGTCAGTGTCTTTCTTGGTAGTTTCTGTGGTTGAATTAGCCACTTAATTCAACTGTAACCTCCAGAACAAATGTTTAGGTTGTAGGAATAGTATAAGCTGTCTTTCTCCTACCTATTAATAGGCTAGTTTTAGGTTGGTATGCATCTCCAAAATTAGGGTACATTTTGGGGAATGATAAAAGTTTAATTATATGGATTCTATATATGTATGTAGGCTGGTGGTGCCAGTCATTTACAAGCCTCATAAGTTGTATTCATCTTTACTAAGTAGACAATCTCTACAAATTCTTTATATTTGAAACATGCAGTATTCTCTGTAATGCCATTAAGTGAATATAAACCATAGATAATACAATCAAGTGTCTATTTTGATTAACTTCAGCACATAGTAAAGAGGTTGGTGAAATATTGATGTTAAATTACTGCAAATAGATACCTTCATTTCTCATTTAAAGAATTCTGTTAACATATGAGTATACTGTTTTTAGTCAGCTAATTCTAAAATATTTCTTCTTTTTTTCATGTACATATTAAAGACTGATTTTAAGGGGTGTGACCAGGAGGTTTTGGACTCGATGAGTTTCCACCGAAATGTCGGAGAAGTCAGGCCAGAGCACAAAAGCAAAGGATGGGAAAAAGTATGCAACACTCAGTTTATTTAATACTTACAAAGGAAAATCATTAGAAACTCAGAAAACTACAGGTGAGTAAAATGAAGTGCCATTTAATGTTTTTCTGTGCTTTTGTTTTTTAAGTTTAATTCAACCTTACATTGGCCTTTTTATGAAGGCATACAGTTTTTAAGATACACGAATTAAATATGCTAAAATTGAAAATTCATACCTCTTAATTTTCCTTAAATGTTTTCGCTTTGAATTATATCACAGGTTTGTAAGCTGAGTCTACAAATCCTTTTCTTAGTATTAAGAATAATCAAGCGGGCACCAGTGGCTCATGCCTGTAATCCTTGCTACTCTGGAGGCTGAGATCTGAGGATCTCGGTTCAAAGCCAGCCCGGGCAAGAAAATCCGTGAGACTCTTTATCTCCAAAAAAACTGGAAGTGGTGCTGTGGCTCAAGCGGTAGAGCGCTCGCCTTGAGCTGAAGAGCACAAGGACAGCCCCCAAGCCCAGAGTTCAACCCCCTTGATGGACCAAAAAAAAAAAATTAAAAGAGTCTGTTAATTCTTATTGTTCTATATGATTGGAAGAATAAAATAGGTCTTCTAAGAAAGTTGATGTTACTGATCTTTTAGTTGCAGCTCGACATGGGTTACAGAGTCTTGGAAAAGTTGGAATTTCACGGCGTATGCCTCCACCAGCTAACCTCCCAAGCCTCAAAGCAGAAAACAAAGGCAATGATCCTAATGTAAACATTGTGCCTAAAGATGGCACCGGATGGGCATCAAAACAAGAGCAACATGAAGAAGAAAAGTAAGTCAGAATTACTAAGGAGTGAAACCCTACTCCTTTCTTTGTGGAGAACTTAGGCTTCCTACTGTGCGCTAAATGATACACTGCTTATCTTACATATTCAAAACCCTTTAAAGTCTTGATTGCATAGTAGCTTTTGGTTAATTTTCCCTTTGGTCTAGTAGTAATATCTATTTGTCATAGTAGAACAGATAATAGAGTTGCTAATGAACTTTGCTTATCATAGCCTATATCAGTCTCTCCTTTCTCATCAAATCAGATGATTTGATGCCTGGTTCTTTTTCTAATATGAAACAATTCTGTTACCCTAATTTCATTGATGCTAAAGATTTTGCCTGCTTAGTTCACTGTGTATCTTTAGCGTTGACATTGTACATGAAGCATTAAAATACTCTTTATTGAATAAAGAGCAAGAAAGCAGAAATCAGTTTTGTAGTGTCTCTCAATCATGATTCATTCAGATATTTGCTCTTTGTCAAGCATTGTGTAGGACTTTTAACTGACCCAGCTAAATAGCAGTAATATTACTTAAAAAGAAGTCAGCTGTTGAATACTTGATTGGGTTTGAGGGCTTATATCTATTATCAAATTCCTGCCCTACTTATATAGAGCTTGAAATAGTGAATTTGATCACTTGTTAGAAATTTGTAGACTATTGTGCTTTGAATTTTAGTTGTAATAAAATTACTTTATAGTAACAAGTCAATTGTAGGTCTAAGTGTACTAGAAATGTATTGACATTTGCATCTCTTAACTACTTTTTTACTTTTAAGCATTACCACAGCACAAGAATTGTGTAAAACAAGATTGTGTAGACCATTTTAAGTGTCTTTTTCTCATGGGAATGGATCAGGCAGGTTGCTGTTACCTGTTTGAATTACAATATAAGTGCAGTGGTGAACCTGTTGACTGCCAAGTGGAGAGCTTGCCTAGCCTTAGCCTGGCTCACTGTACAGATTGTATGTATTTACGTATATATTTAAATTTCTGCTTATCAGTGTTTACTTCAAAACATTGTGTTGCTGTGGCTATTTCTAATAATAATCCAGCATTGGGAAACGAAGCTGTCATTTTTACCATTGTTCAATGATAGAGATAAGTAAGAACAAAAATAGCTACGATTTTAAAGGGATGTTGCAGAGAGAAACCATCTGAGTAGATCTGTAACTCCGATACCTAGCACACAGATTTACCTTACATGTAATATTGATTTTATTTTACTTAAATATGTAATGTCTGAAATAATGGATTCACATTTTTTTAAAGAGCACCAGAAGTGTCACCAGCACAGCCAAAACCTGGGGTAACAGCTCCCCCAGAAGTAGCTCCTGCTCCCAAATCATGGGCCAGTAACAAGCAAGGTGGGCAAGGAGATGGTAAGTGGCCATTAGCTGGGGAATATGGTCAGGTCTGATAGTTACTGAACAGCCATGCAGAAGATTAGGTGTGAAAAGCATTGTCAACAGATCTATTCAGATCTTTTTTTTAAAAAAGTATCTTTAGTTGTATAAAGGGATTTCACTTTAACAATTCAGATTATTAAAATGGACCCTTTAATAACCTGAGGTAATTACATTTTTTATTAAGAGGCATGCATGATCCAGTGATACTGCTTAAAAAGGGAGTCTTTAGGGCTGGGAAGTTGGCTCAGTGGTAGAGCGCTTGCCTTGCATGCCTGAGGCCCTGGGTTCAATTCCTCAGCACCACATAAGCAAAAAGAAAAAAGCCGGAAGTGGCACTGTGGCTCAAGTGGTAGAGTGCTAGCCTTGAGCTGAAGAGCTGAGGGACAGCACTCAGGCCCAGAGTTCAGGCCCCACGACTGGACCCAAAAAAAAAAAAAAAGGGAGTCTTTAAAGGTCTTTCTTATCTTCATCCCTGCACAGCAGGAGAAAGTCTGTACATTGTACTGATACATTGTATATACATTGTACTGATTACTCAAAACTCATTTCTGTTTCAAATACTTTGTATTGAGAGGAAGAGCTAATAAGTGAACACACTTGGCCTCCAAGCAATGGTGGACTTGCAAAACAGAAACTCAGTAAAGTAGAATTTTGTGAAAGAGCAAATCTAAGCCCTAAGCTAGTAAAATTAGCAATATAAAGACGTATAAAAACCAGTACATAAGTGGGGGTGAATAGTTAATAGTGAAGTACAAGTAGTTACTCAGTGGTAGGTTAAAGACATTTCCAACTGCCAGTACAAGGCTATTTTCAGTAGTAACAATTTAATTGTTACTGTTTTCTATTTGTTTCCTTTTGTTGTTTTTTTTCTCAGTCCTGGGACCTATGAACTGTCCCTAGGCTCCTTTTGCTCAAGTCTAGCACTGCCATTTGAGCCATAGCACCACTCCAAGCTTTTTTTTTTTTTTTTTTTTTGGTCGACCGTGGGGCTTGAACTCTGGGCCTGGGCGCTGTCCCTCAGCCCTTCAGCTCAAGGCGAGCGCTCTACCACTTGAGCTACAGCGCCACTTCCAGTTTTCTGGTGGTTTATTGGAGATAGGAGTCTCACGGTCTCTCCTGCCCGGGGTGGCTTTGAACCACCATCCTCAGATCTCAGCCTCCTGAGTAGATAGGATTACAAGCGTGAGCCACCGGCGCCCGGCCACTCCAAGCTTTTCTGTGATTAATTGGAGTCTTAAGAGACTTTCTTGCCTAGGCTGGCTTTGAACAACAATTCTCAGATATTCAGATATCAAGCTCCTGAGTAGCTAGGATTGCAGGCATGAGCCACCGTTACTCAGTTGGTTCAATTTTAATAAAGGAATTGGTTTGGGCTTGTGCTGTATTGTCAGAGTCATAATAAAAGAGGAAAGGGGCAGAATTCTACTTACATGGCAGATCTTCATGAATGAGTCCTTTAGGATATACCTGGCAGGCTCTTTAGGTTTTTATCTCTTCATGGCTGTTCAATAACTTTGCAAAAGATTTGAGGAGATAAATTTTTTATGGATATGAACAGTATTGAAATAAGGAATAATTTATAAGAAAGATGAAAAAAACTATCCTGGGAGGGCTGTTTGAACTACTATTAGTATAAAAGTTATCTTTAATGTGTTTTTTAACAAATCTAGGTATCCAGGTGAATAGCCAGTTTCAGCAGGAATTTCCTAGCCTGCAAGCAGCTGGAGACCAAGAAAAAAAAGAAAAGGAAGCAAATGATGACAACTATGGACCTGGACCCAGTTTACGACCACCAAGTAAGTGTATGCTTTCTACCTACCTATTAAAACTGCACAATAAAATCGTACTGTTTTATCTTGGATGTACTTTCTAAATGTTCTTGGATTATGTGACCTGCCTAGTGTGAAAAGACAGACTACTACTGTACTATTGTTATTTTTTTTGCTGCATGAAACATTTTGTGATACATTTTTCCTATTGCATCTTGGGATTATGAATTCAAGAGCAATTTATGGGTTATGGCTAATGGATTCTTACAGGCCACATAGCTGGGAGCTAAAGCTGTCTTGGATTGGGGTGTACTTCCTGGATCCCTTGCACAGCTTTTGGCTGAGGCTGTTCACAACACAGCTTCCTTAAAATATGTGAAGAGAAACAGGCGTTCCGAACCCCAAAAGAACCCCCCGGGATACACACTGTTACTTCAGCTTGTAATTCTGCAGGTTTGCAGACCGACCCTGGTCTACTGTGAGGAGGCCACACAGAGCGAGTGTGAGGTAGAGGCCGGTTAAGCCATCGAGGAGGAGGCTGGCCACCATATGGGGTCTCTTGGTATAATACCACATAGTGATTGTACTTGGTTAAGCCAGAGGTTACTAAATTTGGGCACCTGGTGAGTAGCAGAACTGAATGAAGTAGCTGAGAGCACTGCCACTACTGGTGGGTGAGAAACCCTCGCCTCTTCCTTTAGAAAGCTCAGGCGACCCCGCAACACAGGCTAGGTGAGAACCGTGATTTTATGATGCCCGGTCAGAGGGAGTGCGGGGTGCACTGAGTTTTAGTCTCTGTTTTGGAAGACACTACTCTAGACTACCTAAATATTAGCATTAGTAGAGTTCATTAAATAGCTAGCCCTCCTCCTTCACTGTACTGCTTTGCTTATTTTCTTGAAATGTGCTTAAGTTGCTTTCAGTGTTCATGTTCAAATATTTCCTTAGTCCTTTTTTTTTTTTTTCCACACCAGATGTTGCTTGTTGGAGAGATGGTGGTAAGTCTGCCGGCCCATCTGACCAGGATGAAAAGCTTCTTAACCAGGATGAAAACCCAGCTATATCATCAGAACAAAATGACATCCTCAAGGTTGTGGAGAAGAGAATAGCTTGCGGTCCTCCCCAGGCCAAACTCAATGGGCAGCAGCCTGCCCTTGCTTCCCAGTACAGAGCTATGATGCCTCCTTATGTAAGTCTGTTAGTCTATGGTATTAGGAGAGAATTGGAATGAGGGCAGGTTTAAGGCTATCTAACTGAAAATTAACATTTAAAAAAATAGTAAGCACAGTAAAAAATTACACGTGTATATCAATTGAAATCACAGGTTGTTTCACTTCATATTACATTGAACACTTCTTCAAAACGTAATTGATCCCACATAGACTATTTTAGGACTTAATAAAAGCAGCATGTAGCACAAATATTTTTGAAAAGTTTTATGGTTAGTAGAGTTTTAGTACAATTATTTTTGAATTACATATTTTAGATAATGAATGAAACATTTCTCTGAGAAGGACTAACATTGCCAAAGGGATGTTTTATGGCACAAAAAAGAGCCAAGAGTATTTGCTTTAATTTGAATGTTGGGTTTTGTTTTGTCGATGTGCATGTGTTTGTTTTCAGTGTATTGCTATATAGCCCAGGGTAGCTAGCCTTGAATTTAGAACCCTTATACCTCAGCTTCCTGAATGCTGTGTGTGTGTGCTGCTATAAATTTTTAAGATCATCGTTAGTTGTACAAAAGGGTTTCAATTCAGCATGCCAGTTTATAAGTACAGTGTGTCTTGATCAATGTCAATCCTTTTAATTGCTTCCCCACCCCTCATACTAGACAAAGTTTAAACAGCTACAAAAAGAGTGAATTTTCCTTCCATCATTTTAGACTACTAAAAAAAAAAAGATGTGTTATTTCATCTGCTAGTAGTTTGCATTGTATTTTTAAAGGTTTTTCAGGACAAATACATAATATTAACACATCTATAAAGAAAATAATTCCTCACCATCAGATTTGAAACTTTTTGTACTGCAAGAGGAAAGACATTAGAACTTACAGGCAAGAACTTGAATAGAGTCCCAGAGGCACACAGATAGGAGAGAGACACAACAGGTTGGATACATTAAAATAAACTGTTCCTGCACAGCTAAGGATGTAGTTCCCAACCAGTTGGGAAAGGATTTTTATCAGCAATGCATCAGACAAAGGCCTAATATCTAATATATACAAGGCGCTCAAGAAATTAACCCCTCCCAGACTTAATAAACCAATCATAAATGGACAAGAGAGCTAAATAGAGACTGCTCAGCAGAAGGTGTAAGAATGGCAAAGAAACACCTGAGCAAATGCTCATCCCTGGCCATAAAGGAAATGCAAATCAGAACAACCCTGAGATACTGTCTCATCCAAGTAAGATTGGACAACATTGTGAATTCAGACAAATGCTGGCAGGGATGTGGGGGGAAGGGAAACCAGGGAACCCTGCTGCTGGTGAGAATGTAAGCTAGTACAACCGCTCTACCCTGAGCATCACGAGCCAGTATATGATAAGGACACCTGCACATCCATGTTAACTGCTGTACTATTCATAACATCCGAGATATGGAAACAGCTCAGCTGCCCCACAAGAGAGTGAATCAGAAAAATGCAGTGCTTGTACATAATGGAATTTTATACAGCCATTAGAAAGAATAATGTCATTTGCAGGGAAATGGATAGAACTAGAACAAATCATGTTTGATGAGGTAAGCCAATACCAAAGAGATACAGCACATAATCTTTTTATGTTTATGTAAAATAATATGTATACTGAAACAGACTCATGGAAACAAAAGATTTTGTTTTTTCTTTTTCTGATGGTTCTGTATTCTTTACCTTATATATGGTGTATTTACATCTATATCTATGGGAGCAGGTGGGGATTAGCATAGAACTCAAAAAAGGGTGAAAAAAGTAGCAATGGAAAGTACTGGACATTGATGAAAGTGAACTATACAGCTCAAGGGAGGAGAAGGGAGAGAATAGGGGAACCGATGACACTGCAAAGGAAATGTACTTTCTACTTGACCCATTCAACCCCTCTGTACATCACCTCTACAATAACAGTAAGTTTTTAAAAGAAAATATGTAAGGACAGATACAATGGCTCAAGCCTAAAACCCTAGTACTTAGGAGGGCCGTGGTCCTGTAAATGGCTTGGTTTGGGGTGGGAGGTTGTCTATACCTAGTAAATAAAATGAAATACGGAATTAGTGATAAAAATAGTATTAATGTTATGATTTTACACCTAGTCAAATTGAAAATATTTTGCAAGTAAGTGATAAAATGTATTTTTTTTCTTTTCTTCATTCAGATGTTTCAGCAATACCCAAGAATGGCATATCCTCCTCTCCATGGTCCCATGCGTTTCCCACCCTCTTTATCTGAAACAAACAAGTAAGACTATTAAAAGTCTAGGCTACCGATACTGCTCAGTGGTAAAGTGCTTGACTTACAAGGGCAGGATCCCACTGAAACAATAACAAAACAGCAGATGTCTAGAAGAGTCACATGTGCTCATTAGACTTTCTGAATGCTGTATGGATTGAGGATTTATTTTGTGTTCTCATGAGTATAGTTGCTGTTCATACCTTACAGTGATAAAGCCTCATTGTTTAAGAAGTGGAATTGTTAAAGAACTTTGTTGTCAGGCACTAGTCGTGGCTTGAGCTTGTAATCCCCAGGTGCTTGAGAGGCTGAGGTTGTTTAGACCAAGTTCCAGACCTCCATAGGCCAGGAGAAGAAAAGCTCATTGGACACCTTCTCAAGGAAGAGCTGCAGTGCAAGAGCCTGCTGTCTTAGCTGCCAAGCCTATCATAGGTGGATTGTGTCCAGAACAGGAAGAGAGGCCCTACTTCAGAAATCACAATTAAAAACTCAGGACATGATAAGAATGCATGTCTAGCAAGTACAAGGACCAGAGTGCAAAACCCCAAGTATTGTAAAAAATAATAATTCTGTCTAAAATTGACAACACATTTTTTTTCTCCCTTTTACTTTCCATGATATCCCTGTTCCCTCTCCCTCTTCCTTCCCTCCCTCCTTCCCTTTCTCCTGAGCTTATTTTGGTGGTGTGGAGGTAGTATTTAACAGGATGTGATTTGAGCTCAGCTGTCACTCATTTGAACCACGCTTCCATCCCTGGTTGTGTCTGGTTATTTTTAGGGATAATAGTCCTACCTAGGCTGGCTTTGAACTTTGATTATCCAGATCTCAGTCTCTTAGAATTACAGGCATGAGCACCAATACCCTCCTTGAACATTTTTTTCTTTTCCTTTTTTTTTTCTCTTGTGCTAGGCCTGGAGCTTTAATTCCGGGCCAGGGCACTGTTCCTGAGCTATTATTCTTTTTGTTCTTGTTTTTGCTTAAGGCTGTGTTGCTCTACCACTTAAGCCACAGTCAGTCCCATTTCTGGCTTTTTGGTGATAAGTTGGAAACAAGATGCCTAGGCTGGCTTTGAACCTCAGTCCTTAGATCTCTCAGTGCTTAGAGTAGATAGGATTACAATTAATTGTGAGCCACCGGTGCCCTGTGTTGAAAATTTCCTTAATATGGTAGTTTTCTTTATTACGGTTTTGTATTTTGAAATTTAGTTTAATGTTAGCCTTTACCATATTTCATATTTGAGTCTATAAGAGTTTTTAAAACTTTCCAGCTATTATAACAATTGTGCATTATTACATTTGTGTGCCAATACTAACTAAACACTAATTTCCTATCTTACACGTGCACCTAATTTTGTATCATTAAAACTTCACCTTTTCCTACCATGCCCTCTCTCGTTCATTAGAGGACCTCGAGGAAGGGGCCCTCCCCCTTCGTGGGCCTCGGAGCCTGAGCGCCCGTCCATCCTCAGTGCGTCAGAACTGAAGGAACTTGATAAGTTTGATAACCTAGATGCTGAAGCTGATGAAGGTTGGGCAGGTAAGGGGCAAAGTTAGTTCAGTGTCTGAGGTTGTGTACTTCGCGCAGTCTGTCTGAGTGTGCCTTGATTTGACAGGTGCCCAGATGGAAGTCGATTACACAGAGCAGCTGAATTTCAGTGATGATGAGGAACAAGGAAGTAGCAGTCCTAAAGAGATCAGCAGGTAACTTGTTGTGATATTTTCCACTAGTACCAATTTGAAGTTCACAGAACAACAACTTCTGAGTTGTTTTTCAAGGAGTTTTTACTGCACTTAGGAAAGTAATAACTCATACTGTGCACTAATGAAATAATAGAGGTGGAATTTTCATAGGAAGGGACAGTTTATGAAGGATATTTGGGTGCTTGACATTTGACTAGAGATGTTTTGATATAAGGTATCAGGGACCATTTTAGATTTTTACTTGGATGACCCCGTATTTGAAAAACTGGAAAAAAATTCCTTGGGTTTACATAGCTGCTTCAAACTTCTTGTTATTTAAACATTCAAACGGACTTTACTGGATAGACACATAACATTGTTACAAAACAATTACAGAGCATAATAGTGCTCTGTAAAAGTCTCTCCTTGATTTTATTAAACTTAGCATTAGGGTGTTAGAGGAACTTTGTATTTTCTGCCTTTTTAAAAAAAATAAAAAGAATAAAATATATGGGTTATGTATCATAAAGGTTGGGAGTTAGATTTTTTGTTTTTTTGTGTTTTGTTTTTATTACCAACCCTGGAGCTTGAATTCTGGGCCTGGGTATTGCCCCCAAGCTTCTTTTTGCTCAAGGCTAATGCTCTACCACTAGAGCTATAGCACTACTTACGGCTTGTTCAGAGTAGTTTATTAGGGATAAGAGTTTCGTGGACTTTACTGCTTGGGGCTGACTTCAAACAGCAATCCTCAGATGTCAGCCTCCTGAATTGCTAGAACTAACAGGAGTGAGCCACTGGCACCCAGCAAGTTGAGCTTTTAAAATATTCAAGGTGTTTATACTGGTATAGTTACTCAGATAACGGCATTGTGATTTGTTAGATTTACAAATACTATAATTTTGTTTATGTTTTCTCATTAGATCAATAAATTGAAATGCAGTTAATATTACTTAAATGATGGGCTTATATTCTTTTGTAGCAGGTGTGAATAATGTCACTAAGCCATACTCATCTCATTCTTTGATATATTTTTGCCCCCAGAGCCATACAGAAACTGTTTTGTTTTTCCTAGAAAAATCATATTTGCTTGTATCATCCTTCACTTTATTTCTTACGTTTTTTCATTTTTCAGTGAAGATCAAACTTCAAAAGTCTCTGAAAATACTGAAAACCAGAAAGAAGCAGAAGAAGTTCGAAATACTAAATCACCTTCCCAGACACCTGCTCAGCCACCAGTGACAAAAGGACCCTATGCGAAAGGACCTGCGTTTAGTCAGGTCTGCTGAGCTCATACAAATCTTTCATCATTACTGATAATGTGGGTGAATTAGTTTTGGGATGGGGACTTAAAAATGGGAACTTCATCTTTTTTGTAAGTGTCCTGGATCTCTGATTTATTACACTAAATAGTGGCTAAAATGACCAAGCAAAAGCTAAAGTTTACCTTTTTTTTTTTTCCCCCTTCTTCTTAGGTATGTCTAAATGGAAGGATAATACTGTTTTTCTAAAGTAAAAGTAAACATTTATCAATTACTGAATATATTTTATTATCTAATTGGGTCTATGTATGAGGTGGTATGCTGTCTTTGTAGATAAATAACACCTACTGACAATGCTTGTCAAAGAAAGAAGTCTGGATCATTGTTGGGGAAGTATGGGGAACAAGTATATTTGATTCTATTTATGTTATTGTAAATGTTAATGGGAGCTAGAAATGAAGGGTACCTTCAAGAGTTCACTTAACTCTCCTTAAAGAATCACAACATAGTTGGTATATATTTGTTGAATTTGTGCAGAACAAGTATCTCTCTTTTTGGGAAGCTAAAAGAAAGTAGCTGACAGTATCAAAGGATAAAGAAAAGCTAATAAGCATGAGTATATTTAATGCACTATGATATATAGTAAGGCTGAGTTCACAGTGTGATGTCTTAAAGATTATAAGTTCAGGCAAAGGCTTTGCAAAGACTTAATACTTGAGCCAGTTCTTAAAACAGTAATTGCCCATTAAACAAAAGTAAGAGTGTGGTTTCAAGTTCTTGGAAAAATAAAGAGGTAAGGAAGTCAAGTTTAAGAAATACTGAGCCGGGCGCCGGTGGCTCACGCCTGTCATCCTAGCTACTCAGGAGGCTGAGATCTGAGGATCACAGTTCAAAGCCAGCCCGGGCAGAAAAGTCTGTGAGACTCTTATCTCCAATAACCCACTAGAAAACCAGAAGTGGCACTGTGGTTCAAGCAGTAGAGCGCTCAAGGTACCTTGAGCTGAATTGCTGAGGGACAGCGCCCAGGCCCAGAGTTCAAGCCCTACGACCAAAAAAAAGAAAAAAAAAAATACTGAGTAGTAAGCTATATAAGAACCATTTGTTGGAGCTGAATTATGTAAATAAATGGTATTCAAAGGCATTAAGTTTGGTTAGTATGTGCAAGGGTCTGAGTTCACTCCCAGCAATGTCAAAGAACAAGAGGATGCTGTAAAAAGAGTTTAGATTTTATTCCAAAGGCATTGGTGATCATTGAAGAACGAACTAAGGAATCCTATCAAAGGAGGATTTTTCACATACTACTAAAGTTTTTGTCTTATATAACATTTAATATAATCAGGAATGAGAGTTTCTTCATGGAAGAATGGAGAACTGCATCTTGAACTTTTTGCAAGTTTAATCAAGTAAATATTCCATATATTATGTCTAGGTCTCATAAAGAGAAAAGGATAGATGTTTTTTACTGTGTTGTCATTGAAATTCTGTCTTTATAATAGGAACGAGGACCATCTTCACACCTACCACCACCTCCAAAATTGCTTGCACAGCAGGTAAGTTTTTTAGAAGTCTCGTTATGTTATTTATATTATGTTTTAGATAATAGTTTTAAATATACTTTTCTTGATATTTCCATCTAAACATAGACCTGTCTCCACCCATGTTGATTTCTTCTTGGTGTTAATAACCCTTCTTTCTCCATCTTTTTAATTTATCTGATTCCTCCGCACTGTTGCATGCTGACCTTCCTAGGCACATGTGCTGCTATCCTGAATATTTTGCACCTACTAAAGTGCTCACACTCCTAAATATCCTCGATCTGTCCATTTTTTCTTCATACTTTTCCATACCTGTGATGCCCAGTAATGGTCTGAATTCCTCATTCTCATGTAAAATCTGAATGTTCTAGCATCCACCTCCAGATCGGCAGCCAGTGTCTGGAAGATCAGGCTCTTTTCCTCCCAAGCAGCAAGTACCTGATGAAGATGAGATATGGAAGCAAAGGCGAAAACAACAGTCGGAAGTTTCTGCAGCAGTGGAGCGTGCTCGTAAACGGCGTGAAGAAGAAGAGCGCAGAATGGAGGAGCAGAGAAAGGCGGCTTGCGCAGAGAAGCTGAAGCGCTTAGATGAGAAGCGTGCCATTGTGCAGAAGCAACCTTCTCCAGAGGAAATGCAGAGGGAAAAAGAACGAGAGCGTGAGAAAGAACTTGAAAAAGAACAAGAACAGGAGCGGGAGCGGGAAAAGGAGAGACAGCAGGAAAAGGAGAAAGAGCTAGAGAAAGAGCAGGAAAAACAGAGAGAAATGGAGAAGGAAAGAAAGCAAGAAAAAGAGAAGGAATTAGAACAACAGAGGGAAAAGGAGAAAGAACTACAAAAGATTAAAGAACAGGAAAAGGAGAGTGAATTGAAGACAGAAAGGGAGACGCTGGAGGAAAAAATTGAACCCAAGGAATCTCCTTTAGAGCCTGTGGCAGAAAAACAAGAAAGTGAAAACAGCTGTAATAAAGGTACTGTTGCTAATTCATTGTTTTTGATTTGTTTGCTAGAATTGAAAAAGGCCTTGTGCAAGCTAGACAGATGCTTTACCATTGATTTGTATCCGCCCTATCTTGTTCATTCTTACATAACCCTTATAAATGTATAATTAGTTCAATCATGGGTATTTGTATCTTGTTAATATAAACAGGTGACAGTTTTGAGGTACCATTTGTAGTACTAAAAATAAAGGACTATAGCCATCTCTTCTAATTTTATATATAAACACCGTGTTTCTTGAAATTATGAAATGAGCTTCAGTTTTATTTTGTCTGCAGATATAATTGGTTTCATAGTCTAATGTGTTTTTTTTTTCTCAGACATTTACCTTACAAAATTTTATTTACTGACTTTGATTCATACCTTTAAAACTGAACTGGAATAGCCCTTCATAAAAATGCTCTCTTCTCAGCTGGACGCCTGTCATCCTAGCGACTCAGGAGGCTGAGATCTGAGGATCACAGTTCAAAACCAATCCGGGCAGGAAAGTCTGTGAGACTCTTTATCTCCAATAAACCACTAGAAAACCAGAAGTGGTGCTGTGGCTCAAGCAGTAGAGCGCTCGCCTTGAGCCAGAGAGATAAGAGACAGTACCCAGGCTCAGAGTTCAAACTCCACGACTGACAAAATGTTGCATTCTCATAATTAAGTGACTATACCAATTTCCTACATTAAATTCACCAGCTTCCAAGCTGTAGCTTATAATGCTATGAAGACTGTAATTTTTAACTTTTGAAAAAATTATTCTTGTTAAAAGTCTTAAGAAAATGAAAATGTAGTAGAAAACCATTACTAATTTGTAATGGAGCTAATTTCTAGTGAGTGGCTTGAGATAGAATAAAAATAAAATTTTATTTCCGTTACTTGATTGCATTTGTATTTGGAGGGAGCAGTACTGGGGTTTGGACTTATGGCTTCAGACTTGCTAAGCATTTACTCTGCCACTAAACTAGAGTCTTGAATTTCCCCTTCATCTCCCTCTCTCCTCATCCTCCAGCCTGGTTTGGATTGAAATCCTATTTCCTACCATAAATACAATGATACCCAGCTTTTTTTGTTTTGTTTTTGAATAATATTGACTCAGACTGGCCTCAAACTATAATCTTCCATTCTCTACTTCCCAAGTATCTGGGATTATAAGCATGGCTGCTAGTGCCCACCCCATAATATTTTTGGAAATACTTGGATATTAATATTAGCGTATATATCATTTATATGATTAAGCCTATAAATGCACAAGAAAATTGTTCACAACATCAAAAAAAGCAAAATGTAATGTAGCACAACAGAAATTAGTAACATTGTTACACTTGAATGTTCATAAATTCTATAATCATCCTTTAGGAATCTGATTTAATAGTGAGAAGACTGAATTAAAAACTAGGAAAGTAATTGTAAAGCTGCCACTGAATACATGTATTAACATTGATGAATTTGACTTTTGAATGGTAACAATATCTAAAATCATTTTAATTGTCTCTTTAATAATCTTTATTCATTAGCATTGTACTATCACTTATCTCTGTACTAGGATTTGAGCATAGCATTTTGGGGGGGGGGTGGGAATGGGTCCGTTGTGGGGCTTGAACTCTGTCTGGGCTTGGGTGCTGTCCCTGAACTCTTCAGCTCAAGGAGAACACTACCACTTGAGCCACAGCACCACTTTGGTTTTCTGGTGGTTTATTGGAGATAAGAGTCTCCCAGACTTTCCTGCCCGGGCTGGCTTTGAACTGTGATCCTCAGATCTCAGCTTCCTGGGTAGTTGGGATTACAGGCAAGGTGCCCAGCTAAGATTAGCACTTTTTAGGCAGTTACACTGTCACTTTAGCTTTGCCTCCAGTGTCTCATTTGCATTTTATGTGTTCTCTCATTGCAGTTTAATTTTAGCTAGCTTTCCATTGAGGGGCACCTATTTAATTTTTAATTATAGCACCTATATTACTATATATTTTATCATTCATGATAGTAAATATAATACAAAAAAGATAAATGTATTTGATTCTTGACAACATTTTCACATTGGCAAAAAAAATTTCCTTTTAACATTCATCACTAGTCATCTGAGAAAATAATTTGTAACATATTTCTGTAATTGTTGATACATGACATTCTCTAGAATTACCACTAATTTTCATTACCATAAAAACCTGTAATGTGGAAGTGGCGCTGTAGCTCAAATGGTAGAGGGCTCACCTTGAGCTGAAATGCTGAAGGACGGTGCTCAGGCCCAGAGTTGAAGCCCCACGACAGACCAAAACAAAAACAAAAACCTGTAATGTGTGTGCATATGCATGTGTCTGTGATTCTTTTGGTACACAGTAATTGACTGAGTGAATACTAATTATGAATAATTCTTTTGTTGGAAAGTAGCTAGCTGGCACTGTTGCCTTCATATTTAAACTCAGTAAGGTGTTTGTTTTTTTTAATAGATAATAGTTATTTAATCCAGTAAGTATGTTAATGAATCAATGTGCTCAATTCTTAAGTATTTATAAGCCAGTTTTCATACAGGTCCTACTAAGATTGGCATTAAATATTTCCTTGATATTTATGGAAATTAATGGAAAATAGAAACAATATTTGTGCAACAAAGTATTTTGCACCATGGTCTCTCACAATCCAGTTTTGGGGAAATCTAAGGTTTTAATAACACTATCTTAGGACTTCCAATTTAGAACATAAAGAGATGTTTTGAAGTGTTGTAGATGTTTCTTATTACATTTCATTGTACTTCAGTCTGGTCATTAATACATTTGACAGTTCTTTTACCTTTTCCTCATACAGAAGGCGAGCCAGTTTTCACTAGACAAGACAGCAATCGCAGTGAAAAGGAGACCACTCAAGTAGCACACGAATCAGAACCAGAATCGGGGTCTCAACCCCGTCCTGCTGTGTTATCTGGTTATTTCAAACAGTTTCAGAAGTCATTACCACCAAGATTCCAAAGGCAGCAGGTAATGATGCAAAAAGGTTTTTAACATGAATATGTGAGATTGTTTCATGGTCTCTGTCTAATTTATAGATACTGTCTTTTGACTTTTCAGAATGATTCTATAGTGTAAGATCAAATTTTGTTACTTGTTCTTTTGGTCTTTCACCTGGCCAACTTTCATCATTGTCTTTTCCCTCGTGGATTCAAAAAAGGCCATTATTTGTGATGTAGTTGATTTTATTGATTCATGACGTGTGACTAGAATCCTAACACGTGAGGTCTTGTTCATTCAGGAACAGATGAAGCAGCAGCAATGGCAGCAGCAGCAGCAGCAGCAGCAACAGCAGCAGCAGGGTGTACTACCACAAACCGTCCCTTCACAGCCGTCGGGTGGTGCTGGTCCTCCGCCACCACACAGACCTCTTTACCAGCCCTTGCAACCTCACCCGCAACATTTGGCCTCCATGGGTTTTGATCCGAGGTGGCTGATGATGCAGTCCTACATGGATCCTCGGATGATGTCTGGAAGACCTGCTATGGACATACCACCCATTCATCCTGGTCAGTCAAAATGGACTGCCAAACCTGCCTTGCGGTTTGCTTCCCTCCCCCCTCATTTAGTCTCGATTTTAGAGTTGTAATCTAATAAGAGTTTAAATAGGAACTCTAGGTTTTCATAATATAAGTCTCAGCCCAGAAAAAAAAAAACACACACACAAACAATCCAGGTACTTACATCAACTGTGTGGCAAAACCAAAATATTTCCTTTTGTTTTATGAATATTATTTATTTTTTTTTTTTTGGTCCAGTCGTGGGGCCTGAACTTTGGGCCTGGGCGTTGTCCCTCAGCTCTTCAGCTCAAGGCTAGCGCTCTACCACTGGGCCACAGCCCCACTTCCAGCTTTTTTCTTATGTGGTGCTGAGGAATTGAACCCAGGGCCTCAGGCATGCAAGGCAAGCGCTCTACCACTGAGCCACCTTCCCAGCCCATTATTTAAATTTTTAAATGACAGTTATTCCATGTCTTCTAAATGCCTGCCATTGTTAAAATGGTTTTATTTTAAATCTCTTTCTTTCTCTCAGTGGTGCTGAGATTTGAGCTCTGAGACATTTCTTTAGTAATTCATTATTTAAATGTTACCTATTTTTACAGAGGAGAGCCATCAGTTCCCAGCTTTATACCATCTTTTTTAATCCTTGTATTGTTTACCATTCTAACACTGAATTTATTCGTGTTAGTCAAAATACTTAGTGCCTTTATGAAATCCATTAGAATAAATCCAAATCATCTATTATCAAAATGATACTGAGGAAAACAAAGTGTCATAACAAGCTGATCAGTAATCACAACTTGAACCAGCACAAGATGACTCACATGTAATCCTAGCACTCTGGGAGATGAAGCAGGAGTTTGTGGCCAGACTAGGTTACATAGCAAGACACTGTTTTTGCTCCCATCCCCACCACAGTCCTCCTAAAAAAGAATTTGCTATAGCAAATAGTTTTCTCTGGAAAATTATCCTGTTGCTATAATTCTGATGTTTTGTATTAACATGCTTAGAATTACAGTGTGTGGATTGTATCTGTTTTTTTGTTTTTGTGGTACGGAGGAATTGAACCCAGGGCTTCATGCATGCTAGGCCAACACTCTACCACTAAGCACATTCCCAGCCCATTAGTATCTGTTTTTATGCCTATTTCCCCCCCTTGGAAGTAGACTGTTATTTTGGTTTCAGTATTTTCAGAGCAATAGCAAAATCAAATTCCCATAACAGTTTGTTGTTTTGTTTTTGGTGTAAGTCCTGGGGCTTGACCTCAGAGTCTAGGCTCTGTCCCTGCGCCTTTTTGCTCAAGACTACCACTTAAGCCACAGCTCCACTTCAAGCTTTTTGCTGGTTGAGACAAGAGTCTCAGGGACTATCCTGCACAAGCTTGCTTTGAACTGTGATCCTCACATCTTGGCCTCCTGAGTCACTCTAGAATTATAGGCATGAGTTTCTGATTCCTAGCCCAGAACAGCTTTTATATAATTTCTCAACAACCTTCAGTATTACTCAAAATAACAACAGCAACAAAAAAATTCCAAGTAATTAATGATGCATGTTTTGTCTTCAATTCTGATTTATCTCTCTGTAAACCTGTGTTACAGGAATGATTCCTACGAAGCCATTAATGAGAAGAGACCAGATAGAAGGATCACCAAACAGTTCTGAGTCATTTGAACATATAGCTCGATCTGCAAGAGATCATGCAATTTCCCTTTCTGAGCCTCGTATGATGTGGGGGTCAGAACCCTATCCTCACACTGAGCCTCAGCCTGCAACTACTCCAAAGGCTCCTGAAGAACCTGAAGAGCCAAGGTTACAAATTATTGAGATTATTAAAGAAAATCATATTAGTGGACTAAATGGAATATTGTGGCTAAAAGGAAACCTGTGCTGTCCTTAAAGATTATTCTGAGCCGTACCATTTAGTTTCTTCATTTTGTCTTTGGGCATATTTTCTTCCTTCCTTCCTCTGTCCTTTTTAAAATTTCAGATTAAACCTTTTTTTATTAATTAGATTGGGAAATTTAGCATTAAATGTTCAGACCAAACTGAAACGTATTGTAGATTATGTATAGAGAAGTTTATTTGTATCTACCATGCTTATTCTACCTGGCTAAAGTGTTGATACAGTTCTTCTGGTAGAAAGAAATGGTAGAAATTTAATGGTCAGTATCTTAAGAAAAATTACTGAAACCACAAGTTAAGAAGATGTACTAGTTTATGAAGTTGTTTTGTACTTGCAGAAACAATTGATGGTAACCTATAGTAAGCTATAACAATATAATTGTTCTTTTGTGGAGTTTTTTTTTAAGTATAATATTTTATAATGAGTTGTAATTAATTGGGAGAGTTAAATTCTAGGTGGAAACTAGTCTTTTTTGGTAAGGTTTACATTTTATCTTTAAATAGTTCCATAAAGGGGTTGTCATTCAGCATGTCAGTTTATGAGTATAATGCATTGTGATTGATAAGTTTTTAAAGACCCACATAATTTTAGGTCTAACTTGTGAGTTTCCAATATAGTATTACAAGTATAAGGCCAGTGTTCTATAACAGAGCTTTATAACATTATCTTTCATTATAACATTGGAATAAAATAAGAAATAGCATCATCACCATTTTCACCTATCTTCAGCCCCTGGTGTATTTTTTTTTCACCTCCTGTGCTATAATTGAATATTCCCTATTATAGCGGGGTCATCTGGTAGTTGTCTTTAGTAGTATATGACAGGGATGTTCTGAGGGCTTGAACTCAAGGCCTGGGTGCCATCTCTGAGCTTTTTAGCTCAAAGCTAACACTCTACCACTTGAGTCATATTTTTGGTTGTTTAATTGGAGACAAGACTCTCAAGGACTTTCCAGTCCTAGCTTACTTCAATCCTTGATCCTCAGATCTCAGCCTCCTGAACAGCTAGGATTATAGGAGTGAACCACCGGCACCCAGCTTGACAGTCATTCCTTTTTATATCCTTGAGTAAATTAACACTCCCATTTTATGTATATACCACATTTTTCTTACTCTTTAATCTGTAGCTAGATGTTTGGACCATATCCACTTGGCTACTGTGAATAATGATGCTCTATTTTTTCCTATCAAAATGCCAAAGATAACTCATCATGATTAAGGTTCATAGTTTTGTATTTTAATTTTAGACTGGTTATTTTTCTATATATTTGCATATGTGAAAGATTGTTATGTCAGTTAAGCTTTTGAATTGCTTCCATCATAGGCCTGAAACTGCATTGGAGCAGGAGCACATTTCTGCTGCTTACCCCGTGGAACACGGTCAGCTGGAAGCACATCCAAAAACAGACTGCGTCAGACCACCAGATGACACGGAAGTGCCTAAGTTTTTAAGCAGATCTGTGGAAGACATCAGACCTCACCATACTGATACAAATAATCAGTCTGGTGGCTTTGAAGTACCTGATCAAAAGACCTTATCTACTCCAGCAGATGAGAGGATCTCCACACTAGAAAGTCAACCTGCTCGGAAAAGAAGTGTTTCCCATGGATCTAGCCATACCCAAAAGTCAGAGGAGCAAAGAAATGAGTCGCCATCTGTAAGCATTCCTAAAGTAACAAGCAGATGTCTTGATTCAAAAGAGGCGTCAGAAAGACCAGAGGAGAAGCCGAGGAAGGAAGGCTTTATAAGATCCTCTGAAGGACCAAAACCAGAAAAAGTATATAAATCTAAATCAGAAACTCGCTGGGGCCCAAGGCCATCCTCCAATAGAAGGGAAGAAGGTAATGATAGACCTGTGAGAAGATCAGGTCCCATTAAAAAACCCGTTCTTAGGGATATGAAGGAGGAGCGCGAACAAAGGAAAGAGAAAGAAGGGGAAAAGCTTGAGAAGTTTCCTGAAAAGGTGGCTAAACCCGAAAAGATCGAAAAAAAAGATCTCCCTTCTCCCCCACCACCTCCCGCGCCAATTCCACCACAGCCAGTTCCACCAGTACAGCCAGAACCAGAAAAAGAGAAAGTACCTTCAACAGAAACGTCAGCTTTGGCTCAAAAGCCTTCTCAAGATACTGAGAAGCCTTTGGAACCTGCGACTAGTGTTCAGGTAGAGCCTACAGTTAAAACTGCAAACCAACAAACTGTTGTAGCACCAACCTCCAAGGAAGAGAAACAGCCTGAGAAAATCATCAGCAAAGATATTGCTACAGATAGACCTCGACAGGACTCAAGACCAGTAGTTTCCAATAGGCCCCCTAGGACCTATTGGAAAGAAGCTAGAGACAGAGATTGGTTTCCAGATCAAGGGTATAGAGGCCGAGGACGAGGTGAATATTATTCAAGAGGGCGAAGCTACAGAGGCTCTTACGGAGGACGTGGCCGGGGTGGTAGAGGGCATGCGCGAGACTATCCTCAATATAGAGACAGTAAGCCCCGAACAGAACATGTGCCCTCAGGCCCTCACAGACAGCGAGAAGAAAGCGAAACGCGAAGTGAAAGTTCTGATTTTGAAGTTGTCCCCAAAAGGAGGAGGCAGCGGGGTTCAGAGACTGACACAGACAGCGAGGTTCATGAAAGTGCAAGTGACAAAGACAGTTCAAGCAAAGGCAAACTGCCCAAAAGAGAGGAGCGATCTGAGAACAAAAAACCCATAAAGCCCCAGTCCTCTTTCAAACCTGAAAGTCACGTCCGAGTAGATAACAGGCCACTAGAAAAGCCTTATTTAAGGGACGATGATAAATCTAAACCAGGCTTCCTACCTAAAGGAGAGCCAACCAGGCGCGGCAGGGGGGGCACCTTCAGACGTGGTGGGAGGGACCCAGGAAGCCGTCCTTCACGCCCTTCTACCCTAAGGAGACCTGCTTATAGGGATAATCAGTGGAATCCAAGGCAAGCAGAGGCTCCTAAAACAGAGGATGGAGAGACACCAAGAAGACATGAGCAGTTTATTCCTGTACCAGCAGATAAACGGCCTCCGAAGTTTGAGCGAAAATTTGACCCAGCTAGAGAAAGGCCTCGAAGGCAACGCCCTACCCGACCACCAAGGCAGGACAAGCCGCCTCGGTTCAGACGGCTTCGAGAGCGGGAGGCAGCCTCAAAGCCAGATGAGGTCCCAGTGCCCACAAGCAGCACCATGAGTAGTGGCGTTCAAGAGCCAGTTAGTGCTTCTGGGGATATTTCTGGGAATAAGACACCAGATTTATCTAATCAGAACTCTTCCGATCAGGCAAATGAAGAATGGGAGACAGCCTCTGAAAGCAGCGATTTCAATGAGAGGCGAGAGAGGGGTGAGAAAAAAAATGCTGATTTGAGTACACAGGCAGTTGTAAAGACTGGGGAGAATGTTGTTCCACCAAAGAGAGACATAGCAAAGAGAAGCTTTTCTAGTCAAAGACCTGGAATCGATCGCCAGAATCGACGTGGAAACACCGGGCCACCCAAATCAGGAAGGAATTTTTCAGGTCCTAGGAATGAAAGAAGAAATGGCCCACCATCAAAAAGTGGGAAGAGAGGGTGAGTATTTTGGATATAAAAATTGTGTACTACTAAATAAGCCAAGAGTAGAACTCTTAGTTGAATTAGGCAAGGAGCCAATGAAGATGAGATATCCTCAAGTGTTTTTCTATTCTCAAAATGTAAGGGTGCTTAACAAAGAGGTTAAATGGGGAATCTTCAGTCTGCAAAGTAAACGCCCTTGAGAGGAGTCCTCATGGGAATTTGTAACTTTGAAAAAGTGCATATGGGGGGAGGGGAGATGCGGTATCTTCATTTTGGTAGGCTGTCTTATTCCTTATGAGCTCCCTTATAAACCTCTGGTGTTGTACCAAGTGTCCTTTGAGACTTAACGTGAAATTATGCTCCATTACTATGTGCTGTTTGTCTCGAGTCAAAATTGAACCTTAAAGATACATTATATTCCCTTCTGGAAATCCAACATGATAAGCCCAAGAAACAAATCCCACCCAACCACCATGACCACCGGTGTCTGTGGTGGTTTTTAATTTTCTTTTTTTGGGGGGGGGGAGGGGGGGTCCAGTCGTGGGGCCTGAACTCTGGGCCTGGGCGCTGTCCCTCAGCTCTTCAGCTCAAGGCCAGTGCTCTACCACTTGAGCCACAGCACCACTTCCAGCTTTTTTTTTTCTTTTTGCTTATGTGGTGCTGAGGAATCAAACCCAGGGCCTCAGGCATGCAAGGCAAGCGCTCTACCACTGAGCCACCTTCCCAGCCCTGTGGTGGTCTTTAAATTGCTAAACTTCAGTATTGGAAAAGGAGAAGGCATTGCAAACTTGACACCTGAGGTTCCTAACGGCTCTGTGACATCTGGACTCGACTACTTGGTAGTTGGTTCCTCATGAGTAAAACAGGGAGAAAATAATAGCGCTCATAAGGATTCGTGAAGAACATCAAGTGATTATTCTTGGTACACCTGTAGTAATACCTGGTATATAGTAAGCAAGTATTATGGTAGGTCCTGTTTTTAGACCAAATTCCTAGATTTACGACCAGAACTGAGGTTTGTTTATGAAATACATTAGTTCAGTTCCTAGTTACACATACTGGTAGTGGAAAGTATTTTTACTTTTCAGAGAATTCAAGAAAGTTCAAAGACATAACAATGGCCAGTTGCATTTCCTGAGTACCTTCTTACCTTAAGAATATGCACATCCCTTTAATAAGTCTGATAGCAGCATAATACCTGTACTGAGCCAAGCACCAATGGCTCACATCTCTTAGCCTACCTACTTGGGAAGCTACAATCTGAAAGTTTGCAGTTTGAGACTACCAGCCCAGACAGAAAAGTTTAGAAGATCCATCTCTAAAATAACCAGCCAAAAGCTAGTCTGGCTGCATAGCTCAAGTAACAGAGCACCACCCTAGTAAGCACAAGATCCTGACTTGAGACCCTAACACCACACACAAAAACAATACTGAGTAAACTGGGTGGGTAGGGCACATTTTTAATCCCTGCAACGTAAAGAATAGATGGAGGAGGCCAGTCTAAGCAAGATAAACCATCTCTACCAACAAGCTGGGTGTAGTGGTACATGCTATATCTAGCTTTGAACCTGCGCAAAACAGTGGCTGATTGTAGTAAAGACAAATCCTATTTACATGATGATGCTAATTCATTTTCAGATCTTTGAAAATGTATATCATCTTTTACTGTAGTGTAATATAAGCTAACATGAAAATTAATAGTAAACCACTCTGTCATTTATTTTTGTCTGGAATTGTTTTTAAAGTATTCCTGAGAAATACTAGTTAAAGAACGAGAACTAGAAATATATTAGGTTTGTGACGTGAAATATTTCTGTAGCTAAAGTATGGAAGGTAGCACTAGGCATTCAACCCCAAGTCTGGAGCATGCTGGGTAAGGCTTCTTCCACTTGAACCATATTCCCATTTATTTTGTTCCTGTGGCGTTTTGATGTAGTGTTTCCCTAATTTTGTTGTACCAGCCTTCATGATCCTACATCTGCTTCCCAAGCAGCATGGGCACAACAGGCTTGTACCACACACCTGACAGTGTTTTTCAGTATGTATATGCACATGTTATGTAAACAGATGCTGGCTGGTTCGGTTCGGTTAGGTTTGGTTTGATTTTTTTTAAGCTTTATTTTCTTACATTGCCCACCTTTAGGGGGAAGGATCCAGTTCTAAATACTTGAAACTTGATAAGATTGCAGAAACTTTCTGCTATGAACAGTGCTAAATGGTTGTTTTATAATGATTTTAAAAATGAATGTAATGAAAAATCTTCTGAAGTAATTTAGAATTCTGGAACTTAGTTGCTGAAAACAACTAAAAAAAAGTAGTGGAGCTGTAGCTCAAGTGGTCTAGCGCGCTCACCTTGAGCTGAAGAGCTGAGGGACAGCGCTCAGGCCCAGAGTTCAAGCCCCATGATGGACAAAAAAGAATTTTAAAAAGTTGCTCTGACTTGTTAATATTAGATTTGGAATCTATTATGGCAGTGCTGTTTTCATCTTGAGGAATCATCAAGAGTGTTTTTGTTTTGTTAGGATTAATGTCTCATTTCTTTGTAGGCCATTTGATGACCCGTCTGCAGGCACTACTGGTAGTGATTCTGTCAATGGCAGTTCTTCACACCACCAGGAAGGAACACCTAATGGTACAGGCCAAAAGAATCTCAAAGATGCCACTGGGAAGAAAAGAGAAGACACCAAACCTGCTCCTAAAAAACCCAAAGAGAAAGTAGATGCTTTATCACAGTTTGATCTCAATAATTATGCAAGTATGTCATAGGTTCCCTTGGTTTGTTTCATTTAGGGGGATACTATAAGAAGTCAGTCATCCAACAAGACGATGCTAGAAGCTGATTAGGAAACACTGTTTTAACACAAGCTAAAATGATATCAGCTCTTAGTGTAGCCTTGAATGCTTAATAATCCCACAAGGTTTTACTGGTTTTTGTTTTTGTTTTTTGATGAAAAATTTTACCCATCCTACCTCGTTAAGAAAAAGCATGAAAAACGTAATTACCTGTATTGTTTTATTCTTGAAAATAGGAAAAAAATGTTAGGCACTGTGGCTCATGTCTGTAGTCCTAGCTACTTGGAAGGTAGAATATCTGCTTGGTATGGTACATGTTTATCCTCCCATCTTGAAAGAAGTTGTAAATAGAATTACAGGCATCCATGCAAAACTGTTTGAAAAATGAAACAAAAATGGGCTGTGGCTTAAGTGGTAGATTGCTTGCTTCATTGTAGGCACACCCAAGGCTCTGAATTCCCAGTACCACTACCTAAAAGGGTAGAAATATAACACAAAAAATTGTGTGCTTGGTAAAATTAATTTCTAAGATAGCCATAGAGAATAAGTGATAGAATGGGAGACAGTGTTACTATTGATAAATAATTTAGGAAAATCATGAAATCAACTGTCAAATTTGAAGAATAACAAGAATATTGGATGAGAAATATCCATGAATAATAGACATTTATACAGTTAAAATGTACAATCTGCCATTATTACAGATGAAATGGAAACTGAAAATACTTTAAAATTGACTTACTGATTTGCTTAAAGTTAAGTCCATATCATAGTAATGGGAAAGTTAAGAGTTAGCATAGTTATTTTGATATTCGTGCTATAGATGGATTTTTCTTCTACTTAGTAATTGTAAATATTAAAAGTAATTTAGTCAGTTCTTTGGACACTATTTCTGGACCACTTTCTCAAAGTGTGATCCTCAGTGTCATCTGGGTCATTTCTACTCCAAACTTTTGAGAATGGATGCTAGGTTATAGGAATAACACTCAACTTGAGTAACTTGTTTTCTTAGGGAGCATATAGTCTCTGAAAGTTTTGGGTTTTTTGTTTTTTTGTTGTTGTTGGGGGGCCTGAACTCTGGGCCTGGGCGTTGTCCCTCAGCTCTTCAGTTCAAGGGTAGTGCTCTACCACTTGAACTACAGCACCACTTCCAGTTTTCTGATGGTTTATTGGAGAAATGAGACTTACGGACTTTACTGCCCTGGCTGACTTTGAACTGGAATCGTCAGATCTCAGCCTCCTGAGCAGCTAAGATTACAGGCATGAGCCACTGGCTCCCAGCTTGTGAAACATTTTCAGTTCTCAGAAGCTGGGGTAAAGTGCTATTGGTATCTTAGGTAGGCTAACAGTTCTGTTAAATGTCCCATGATAGTGATCTTTAAGATGTTAGACGTGTAACATTTACATTGGAATGAGTATGTGTCATAGTTAATTTCTTTAAAGGATTTAAAAGCAGAAGTATATTTTAGACATTAATAATCAGTTGGCTGCTTTTTCTTTTTAAGTCAAGCTTTACTAGAGAAACAGTATGACAGTAATTTTAAAAGGATGGAAACCATTTTCATGCTCCTTTAGTCTACCTGAATGTGAGTGTTCAGTATGTTTACCAAAAAAGCATGGAAATTCTTGAGAAATCATTGCCAGTGGCTTATTGATGTAATCCTAGATACTCAGGAGGCTGAGGTCTGAACTTCCGCAGTTCAAAGCCAGCTCCGGCAGGAAAAACCTGTTGGACTCTTCAGTTAACCATGGCTTAAAGTGATAGAGCACTAGCCTTGAGCTAAAAAAGCTCAGGGACAGTGCCCAGGCCCTGAATCCAAGCCTAAGAGCAGCATAAAACAAAACAAAATAAAAAAAAGGCAAATCTCTTGGATTATATAATTAAATCTATAGTCACAAATCATATCTGTTAGGCTGTGGCTCACACCTGTAATCCTATAATCCTAGCTACTCAGGAGGCTGAGATCTGAGGATCTCGGTTCAAAGCCAAGCCCAGGCAGGAAAGTCCTTGAGACTATTAACCTCCAATAAACCACTAGGAAAGGGGAAGTGGAGCTGTGGCTCCAGCGGTAGAGCGCTGGTCTTGAGCTGAGGGATCGCGCCCAGGCCCAGAGTTCAAGCCCCACAACCAGGAAAAAAAAAAAAAAAATCTGTTAAACTAAGCTGATTTTATTTGAAATACTATTTATCCGGATTCAAATTTTTTTGGTTTTATGTGAAATGTGTGTGTGGGTTACTAAGAGATGAACTCGTCTTCTAGCCTGCTAAGCAGGCAAAGACTCAAACATTTGAGTCACCACCACCACCAATCAGTTTACGGCCATTAAGTTGATTTTAATTCTTGTACATCTGTGCCACTTTATAGTGACATTTTAACAACTACAAATTATATAGGGGTCCTTGTAAATACAAGCATTACGATTTATATGGGTAGCTACACTTAGTCACCTTACCTTTAGTAAATCAGCTTCTTAGAGCTTATTTATCCTTTGTAAAAAGGAATAAGCTACCTCTTAGAATGGTAAATGTAAATGTGGTAAAGCACTAAAAAAAATTTTAGATCTGATGTTTAAGAGTTAAGTCATGTAATAATTTGTGTTTGGGGTGTTTTGTTTAATTTATTTTCCTAGACATTAACTTTTATTGCTTAAGTAAGGAAAAACCAAAATATTATTGAAAGCATATAGTTTTAGGACTTAATGAATTTTTCATAATTCTGAAACTTTCTAAATCTTACTAATGAATTGCCACCCATCTTACAAGGTACAGGGTACATTATTATACCCCAGAATGATGAGAACTAGACCTCTAGCTTTTATTTTAGCTACTGGACAAACATTTCTACTTCATTTAACATGAGTAAAGTATTAATTAAATTGCTTTTCCTACTGGCAGGTGTTGTTATAATTGATGATCATCCTGAAGTCACAGTGGTTGAAGATCCCCAGTCAAATTTAAATGATGATGGTTTTACTGAAGTGGTATCTAAGAAACAACAAAAACGTTTACAGGATGAGGAACGCCGGAAGAAGGAAGAACAAGTCATACAGGTTTACAGCTTTATCAGTTGTTAGTTATGTAGATCATTGTTTAAAGAATAGTATACAAACGATTCCGGTTTTTGTGTTTATTACAAGTTTTGAGTGATTTCTATATTCATAGTTGAAACTCATAAACTAGGTGTATTTTATTTATTTGCTATATGATGAGATAATTTCTGATGATCTTGGAAATCTAAACACAAATGCCATGAGCTACTATTAAAACTATAGATTCTTAGTATATAAAAGTTCCCATTTAATCTAATTTAGCTTATTCAAATACACAGCTTAGCTGGATAGTATTGGCTCATGCCTATAATCCTAGCTAGTGAAGAGGCTGAGATTTGAAAATCAATCAGCCCAGGCATGAAAGTCTTGAGTCTCTTAAAGTGGCACAGTGGCTCAAGTGGTAGAGTGCTAGCCTTGAGCAAAAGGATCTCAGAGACCACTCCCAGGACCAGCAAAAATAATAATAATAAATGCATAGCTATTTAAGTACATATTTGAGTCAATTGAATTCCTAGCCCTTAGATTCAGATACTTTCAGAAGTGAGGGAATTTAAAGTTAAGAATAGTGCACGTACTCTGTAGTAAAACACCAGCCATACTCTGAAGTTTATGTTTTTGTGGCTAAAGTGAGTTGAAGATATTGTAAACTATTTCATCCCAAGTCAAGTTTTAATGCCAAATTTATTACAAACGTCCTTTATCTCAGAATTTAAACACTGAAATATATGGTGTATATTTGTGGATATTATCTTGAATTCTTATTAGCAACCTTAACAATGAGTATCTAATACAAGCTAGTAAAAAGATCTTTTAACTACTATATGCATGGCCAGGCGCTGGTGGCTCACGCCTGTAATCCTAGCTACTCAGGAGGCTGAGATATGAGGATCGCGGTTCAACCCCAGCCAGGGCAGGAGAGACCGTGAGACTCCTATCTCCAATAAACCACCAGAAAACCGAAAGTGGTGCTGTGGCTCAAGTGGTAGAGCGCTAGCCTTGAGCTGAAGAGCTGAGGGACAGCGCCCAGGCCCAGAGTTCAAGCCCCAAGACCAACAAAAAAAAAAATACTATATGCATGAACTGTTACTTTTAGCTATATAGTTGACCTAAATGATTCCCACCAATTTTACAGGTCTGGAACAAAAAGAGTACAAGTGACAAAGGAAGAAATCAGACTTCCAAGCTTCCTCCAAGATTTGCCAAAAAGCAGGCTACAGGGACCCAGCAAATCCAGTCTCCTGTCTCCGCTGCAACCACAGCTCCAGCCCCAATCTCGACTTCAGTTTCCATTGTGACTCCAACCTCAGCTCCTGCCCCAGCCTCAACCCTAGCTCCAGCTCTAGCATCTCCTTCAGTTCTGGTTCCAGCCTCAACCCCAGTTCCGGTTCTAAATTCAACCTCAGCTCCAGCTCCAGTAACCTCCACTTCAACTACATCCACAGCCTCTTCCTCACCTCCAGCTTCAGCCCCTGCCCCAACCCCTGTCCCTTCCCCAGTTCCTGTCCTTGCTTCAGCCCTAGCCCCAACGCCAGCTTCACCTCCAACCTCAGTGCCAACCCCATCTGTACCAACCTCCCCAGCTCCAGCCCCCACCACCTCAGTCCCACTTCCACCAGCCGCGGCCGCATCCCCTTCCCCAGCTCCAGCCCCAGCCCCAGCTCCAGCCCCAGCCCCAGCCCCAACTGCTCCAGCCCCAACTCAGGCACAGACCCACAAACCAATTCAGAGCCCACTACAAGCTTCAACACCATCTGCAAAACAACCACCACCTTCAATTCGGTTACCTTCAGCTCAAACATCCAATGGCACAGATTATGTAGCTCCAGGAAAATCCATTCAGACCCCACAATCACATAGCACTCTTACAGCTGAATTATGGGATAATAAAGTGGCCCCTCCAGCTGTGCTAAATGACATCTCTAAGAAATGTAAGTGCAACCCGGAATTGTGGGGTGGATAACAGCATGGAAGTGCTGAGCTTTTCAGTCCATATAATTAACTTGGCCAAGGAACTTACTTTTGCTTTTAAGAACAACTTTATGTGTGACAGTCTTTTTTTTTTTTAACTGCCTGACTACTATTACCAAAAAGAAGTGTCAAAAGGAATGGAGATTATTCACTTTTAAATTTTAAAGGCCACATTCTTTCTTTTTTTTTTTTTTCAGTAGGTCCAATTAGTCCACTGCAGCCACCTACAGTCAGTGCATGGAATAAACCCTTAACATCATTTGGATCAGCTACTTCATCAGAGGTAGGAATGGACATAATGGCATTTGGAAGAGGTGGGAAGCTATGCTAATTGGTGGCAAAGAAACAAAGTAGTACAGAAGGAATAATCAGTCTGGGAATGGGAATTTGTATAGAGTTGGATAAGACTACCAAAAAACAATGATTATGAAAGTAGTTCAGAAAGAGAATCAAAATGTCAGTGTTGGGGGTTTTCCACCTCAGGTATAGGAGACATAGAACCTCTGTGATTGGGTAAGTATCCTAAAAGCCACGTTTTCTCTTTAAAGAGAAAGATGAGTTTATCTAAGAAGGAATAGATGAAGTATGTCAAATGCTGCTGCTGATAGAAGTCATGTGATAAAGTCACTGGATTGAGTTGGCCATATGGAGTTCACTGGAGACTTAGTAGTACAATCATAAACTACGTAACATTCTGGTAAAGACATCAGTGATGGGCCATGGGTACCACAGTACCCACAGCCTCATGAGTCCCCATGAGACTATTACCTAGAAACATGGGACTTTCATAAACACTATGGTACTTATTTTTAAAAAATCAGTTATCGCCAGGCACCAGTGGCTCACCCCTATAATCCTAGCTACTCAGGAGGCTGAGATCTGAGGCTCACAGTTCAAAGCCAGCCCTGGCAGGAAAGTCCATGAGACTCTTACCTTCAATAAACCACACTAGCCTTGAGCTGTAGAGCTGAGGAACCATGCCCAGGCCCAGAGTTCAAGCCCAAGAACTGACCAAAAACAAAAGTCAGTTATCTTGAGTATGTCTTCTTAAGAACACATTGTCATTATAAGAGTAAAACAGGAGGGGCTGGGAAGATGACTCAATGGTAGAGTGCTTGCCTTGCACCACGTAAGCAAAATAGGCCTGAAGTGGCACTGTGGCTCTAGTGATAGAGCACTAGCCTTGAGCTGAAGAGCTGAGGGACAGCGCCCAGGCCCAGAGTTCAGGTCCCACAACCAACAAAATAAAAGAACGCAGAGCACAGCAGAATAGGCCAGTAGATGAAGGATGAAGAAAGATTTAAGATTTTGTTTCCTCTTTATAGCATTGTTGAGCGAAGTAAGCCAGACCCAGAGAAACATAGGTTACATGGTTTCCCTCATTTTTGATAGCCAGAATGTGCCTAGAAATCAGCAGACACACTGGATGGTTTAAAAACAAAAAACTGCAGCTTGATAAATTAACACACGTCTTGAGACATTCACATACAGTGAGGCTAGAGGAGGTTATTTTCAGGCACAATATCTATGTGTATTTGATCATATAAAATACCATCAAAATGAACTCAAGAAAATGATGAAAAGAGGTTTTTTTTTTTTTCCTCCGTTGCTGTTGTTTTCCTTTTGTCTTATCTGTCTTTGGGGAGTGGAAGGGGGAACAGAAACTGTGGAACACAGGGTGAACAAATGTCAGCAGTGATATTCACTAGACACTTGAAGACGAACTAAAACTTGGGTGGGAGGCATGGGAGGGAAAAACTGGGAGAAGGCGAGGGGAAGTGATTATGTTCAAAAAGAAATGTACTTTTTATCTGACCTGTGTAACAGGAGCTGCTCTGTCCATCACCTTTATAATAACAATAAAAAACGTTTTTCAAATGCATGGGAAAAAATCTTGATGCCACCTCACCTGCCGGTTTTCAGATATAGCTGGTCTAGAGTAGGCCTCTTTCGGTATTAAACTGTTTTAGAGAACTCTGCACAACCAGTATCAAATCACTGGATTCACTGTTGAGGAACTCTCATACGTTTGTTGTTACATTAATCCTAGAGACTGTCCCTTAAACACACCTTCAGCTCATCTGTGCCGTTGGAAGGATATATTGGAGTGTTGTTTTTCCACAGATGTTTCTTGTAGACATCTGCAGCATTAAGGTGCAGGATGTTTCTGCCCTGACCTTTAGTCCATATGGGACCTACATGTTTTGGAAGTTCCTCATTTTTTTCCTCCACACTTTTTTTGTTCATCTTTATGATCAGAAGATGATTTTTTTTTGTCTTTTGTTGTTAATAGAAAAAAGTTGTTGAATTTTCAAATCAGTTGACATTTCACAAGATAGAAAGCATTTTCAACAGTACTCTTAAATGACTAATGAAGTAGAGTCATTATTTGTGTTCTGTATTTTATAGGCATTTTTTATGTCAATGGTTATGGTGCTCTTAAAAATTTCCTTAGGGCTGGGAAGGTGGCTCAGTGGTAGAGCGCTTGCCTTGCATGCCTTAGGCCCTGGGTTCGATTCCCCAGCACCACATAAGCAAAAAGAAAAAAAGCCGGAAGTGGCGCTGTGGTTCAAGTGGTAGAGCGCTAGCCTTGAGCTGAAGAGCTGAGGGACAGCGCCCAGGCCCAGAGTTCAGGCCCCACATCCGGACCAAAAAAAATTGCTTAATCGTTGCTAAACCTTTTTGTGTTTATGAATGAGGTCTTAATTATTTTGTACAGAAGCTTTCACAGTCATGAATATACTATACAGTATGTTACTCCTTTTTTCTTTTTCTTTTTTTTTTTTTTTGCCAGTCCTGGGGCTTGAACTCAGGGCCCGGGCACTTTCCCTGAGATGCTTTTGCTCAAGGCTAGCACTCTACCACTTGAACCCAGGGTTTCATGCATGCTTAGGCAAGAACTCTACCACTAAGCCACATTCCCAGCCCAGCATGTTACTCTTAATACTAATAAGTTTACATTTATCTGATTGTAGGATTTCCACATTGACCAGAAGAAAAGGACATTTTTATTGAAACTTAGATCAACATTTGCCTATATTTGAAAGTGAATGTAAAGTGAAACTGCTAGACTGCAATGTAGCGTCTAATCACATTAAGTTCAAGAATACCAAAGTAGTCATAGGCCAAAACTGTAGTTGAACTTTGTGCCTGGTTTAATCTGTAATGGAGCCCCATGCCATCCATCTCTGCTACTAATGCTGCTGTACTGCATTCTCATGGCCCTTTTTGTATTAGTTTATGGTAGATGTGTTTTTTTTCTGAAACATTTCCTATGGATTTCATTCAGTATCAATATGTTCTCCTCAGGAACTAACAACACTCTTTAGAGATTTTTGTTTTGTCTCTTAATCACTTGAATCCAAATTACATTGCCTAGCACAAAGACTGTACTCAGTAACTTGTTGAATTGATTTTGTTTTCCAAGATCTAAGTGGCACTGGTATTCCTTGATTGCTTTTCTTCACAGTTTTGTCTGTTTCATAGTATCTTTGTGTACTTGTTGCTTTTACAGTTGTTTTTAAGGGATGAAACGATTTGAAGCTATGATTCACTCATGATCACCACACTTACAAGATCTAGGCCTTTACACATTAAATTTTTTTTCCTAGTTTTCATAATTTGTTTTCTATTACAAGCCAAGAGTGCTTCAGGAAACGTTCCCCTAAAATGCCAATTGATGTCAGTTAATATTCAAATTAAACTTCTGCTGTACTGTTTTATATGGTAGTATTACATAAACCATTTTCAATCAAATCTGAACATTGCTTTGGTAACAGATTTTAAATATTCTTACAATAGGGGACAAAGAATAATCAAGAGAGTAGCGTTGAAATTGGAATTGACACGATTCAGTTTGGTGCTCCAGCTTCAAATGGTGGTGAAAATGAAGTAGTCCCTGTGCTTCCTGAAAAATCTGAAAAGATACCTGAGCCTAAAGAGCAGCGGCAGAAACCGCCACGGGCAGGGCCTATCAAAGCCCAGAAGGTAAACATGATCTTAGGATCACTGCAGGAAAACCACTCCACTGCACTTACAGAAAGCAAACCATTTTAAACTCAAATTGGGTTTTTAATAAATGTTTCACATGGTGGTCCGTCTTACAAACATTGATTTTAGCTTCCAGATTTGAATCTCATAGAAAACAAAGAACATAAACCGGGTCCCATTGGAAAGGAAAGGTCACTCAAAAATAGAAAAGTAAAAGACGCCCAACAGGTGGAGCCAGAAGGGCAAGAGAAGCCCAGCTCTCCTACAGTCAGAAGCACAGATCCTGTTTCAACAAAGGAAACCAAAGCAGTCTCTGAGATGTCTACTGAAATCGGAACAATGATCTCTGTGTCATCTGCAGAATACAGTGCTAATGCAAAGGTAAGGTTCATGTGCGGATTACCAGTTCACTTGATGTACAGGCCAGGCTATGTCTAAAATAAACCAGAATAGCAGCAGTGTACTTTTTTTGCTGAGGCAGATAAGCATGGAGCCTCTGAGTTATTCTGCCAAGTAGATGTTCTTCCTTTGGGTGGGGAAGGGGGCTATCGTAGTAGTTACTCTTAAACTCAGGGCCTCGCGCTTTTGCTGGTAGTTAGACATGAGAGTCTGAGATATGTTTGCCTAAACTATCTTTGAACAAGGATCCTCATGTCTTAGCCTGCTGAATAGCATGAGCCACCAGCGCCTGGATACAAAACAGATTTCCATGGTGTCCATCTGTAATATATAATTGTTGGTAGTAAATTTTTGTAGAAATTCTTTTGTACTGAGTTGCTTCAACTGGAAAATGTCTACATGAAATGGGAATCTTTTTTGTTAGGTTTGTAGGCTTTGCTAGAATGGCTCTAAGCTACTTTTTATTTTGCTAAAAGTGAGGAAAATGGCCAGTTTATAGTAACTACCATACAGCCAGTTGTCTGTCTTCTCTCTTTTTTTCCCTTGGTTGTGGTGCTTGGACTCTGGACCAGTTGTCTTTCATGAGTGGAACCATTGCCTTTCTTTGGTTAAACACTAAATGTTGATTGGATTTAAGGGCCAAATTGAATAAAGATAGATGTCCTTCAATATATGGTCTGCCCTCATCTGTGAGCTCACCATCCATGAATTCAACCAGCTGCATATCACAATCACCCCCTCCCCACCCCTGCAAACAAAACTTGGATCTGTATTGAACAAGGACTCAACCACTGAGATAGATCCTCTGCCCTTAACTATGTCCTAAACGAAATAGTGCAACTAAGTGTATTCTGAGTGTGAGGGTGTGTATGTGTATCAGGCATCACCGGTAATCGGTAGAGATTTATTGAAGGTATACTTGAATGTGTGCATATGTTATATCCAAATCCTATCCAATTTTTTTTATTGTAAAGATACCGTACAGAGGGTTACAGTTACATGAGCAAGGTAATGAGTACACTTCCTATTGAACGTTGTTACCCCCCCTCCATTGTTTTCCCCCTACCATCCCTTCCCTCCCTACCTTCCCCGAGGTTCTTTTTTTGTGTGTGTGTGATTGATTACATAATTTCCCGAATTTCACAGTATTGTGGAATAATGATGCTCAGTTAAAGTCACAAGTTCATTCTAACTTTCCTGGAGCAAATTGTCTATCACAGTCTATAACATATAACAGTGTTCACATGTTATACACCGTACATGTGATCAGCAGCATAGGGATATTTAGTAGTGGTTCAACCAGATGAGCAGAAGTTCTTTGTTTCTTAAGTCCTATTAATTTTGTCCTATCACCTAACATTTTGCAAATCCTATCCAATTTTATATAAGCAACTTAAGCTTCCACAAATTTTGATGTCTAAGGGTCCTGAAACTAGTTTGCCATAGATACCAGCAGGACAACTATATTTATTGAGGCAAATTTCTGTTTGCCATCTTGTGTTCACTCCAGTACATACAGTCATGAGAAGGAATATAGATTTGATCTCATATCATTTGAACAATGTTCTCTGTCCTCCAACCTGAATTCATATAATTCAAAATGTATAACCTATAGATAAGTATGGGAAATGAATAAAATATTTAACATGAAAATAAATATTTGGTACTATTAATGACCTCCTAGTACTATGTAGTGCATTTTTTAAATATGAAAAGGCTCAGTAATAAAGTTATTCAGCATGTGAATATATCACCACTGCTATTTGAGAATTTAGTTTTAAACGAAGTCTTAACTATTTGCCCTCCACTGCTTTCTTCCAAAACAATTTTACTGTTAGGGCTATCACTAAAAATGTGTTTTATTTATTCACTTTGTAAAAAAGTTCTTTTTTTTTCTCTTATTCTTCTTCCACAGGAGTCTGTAACAGATTATACTACACCTTCTTCTTCTCTGCCTACTACTGTGGCTACTAATAGTACAAAGATGGAGGATACTTTGGTTAATAATGTAAGTAATCACTTGAGATTTTGACAAGTTTGGCTAGGAATCTTGAAGTTACCTCAGATCTTTTACTACTATTATGACCAATATTTGACTTACCAGGGAAATACTGATAGTAAATTTGTTTCTGTAAGCATTGTATTATAAGTCATAACAATAATCAAAAATAGGCCTTGTTTTGAAGCAGTATTGGTGATTGAACGTAAGGCCTGCTTATGAGAAAATTGCTATACCTCTTGAGCATGTCCCAGCAAAGTAAACTTTTACTTTTCCTTGAAATCGTCAGCTTTCCAAAGATGCTATTATTTCTTTTTCAGTTTATGTCTTTGCCAACATTGCTGCTATGAAAATTGAGCTATAATGTGTACAATTATATATGTGTACGTTATGTTGAGCTATAATGAAGTATCTAAAACCACTTTCAAACTCAAATACTCTCATATCAGGTGGTATTGAATCCCATTGTAAATTGAACCCCAGTCTCCCAGAGTAAACATGCTATAGTTGAAGTTTATGATAAAAGCTATACAGCCAGTCTCATACAGTTGGCTCATAGTAGTTATCCTAGCTACTCAGGAGGTTGGACCCTTACCTCCAATTAACCGCCAAAAAACCAGAAATGGAATTGGGTCTCAAGTGCTAGAGCACTAGCCTTGAGCAGAGAAGCTCAGGGACATTGCTCAGCCCCTTAGTTCAAGCCCCAGGACTAGTACCAAAAGAAGAATAGTTAAGATAATTTATCATTTTGTCCAGCTCACTGATAGAAACGTTGTAAACTGAAAAATGTTAATAACAGTATAACTTAAGAACAGCGCTTTAGAAGTAATTTACGTGCAGCTCTCCTTTAGAAGAAAAATGTTCAGTGATATTGTCAGCTGATCTTTGAAATACAAACCTCTATTCAAAAGCTATGAGACTAAACTTAAAATATTAATTTTCAAAAGTATCTTTTACATGTACATATTGTAAGGTTTTTCACAAAGAACTTTATCATTTTGAATATAATTATCTTAACTTTGGCCTTGCATTTTTCCCCATGCTGTTTCCTCTAATAGCAAGTATACGGAATTTTAGAAAAGTGACGTACATGTAATCCAATTTTGGAGCTCCAGTGGAAAGACTTAGTGGAATGGAGAAGAATGAGTGATACTTTCTCATAGTGTTAAGAGCAAAAGAGCTGTCACATTTCGTCCAGTTTTTGATACTAAATTTTGATGTGTCAAACTAGGCCTTGCAAACATATCTTTTTGTTAACTCCTTGTGTGGTAGGAAACCTAGGAAATAGAAGATGTCCCTTCATTTTAAATACTAATATCAATTCCTAGGTTAGCTAAATACTGAAACAGTAAAAATTAAGTATAATTTTCTCATTTTAAAAATATCAAATACTTAGCCGGGCGCCAGTGGCTCACGCCTATAATCCTAGCTACTCAGGAGGCTGAGATCTGAGGATCACGGTTCAAAACCAGCCCGGGCAGGAAAGACCGTGAGACTCCGATCTCCGATAAAAACCACAAGAAAACTGGAGGTGGCGCTGTAGCTCAAGTGGTAGAGCACTCGCCTTGAACTGAAGAGCTGAGGGACAGCGCCCAAGCCCAGAGTTCAAGCTCCATGACCGACCAAAAAAAAAAAATCAAATACTTGTAGCACATTCAGTTCGCAAAAAAAAAAAAGTATATGATGCTTCTTCTCTCAACCATCTGAAATAATATCTATTAAAATGTGGGGATAGCCAGGCACCAATGTCTCATGCCTATAATCCTAACTATTCTGAGGATCATGGTCTGAAGCCAGCCCCGGCAAGAAATTCCATGGGACTCTTCTCCAGTTTACCACAAAAGGCTCGAAGTAGGGTGATAGAGTGCTTGCTTTGAGCAGAAAAGCTCAGGGATGATGCGTAGGGCCTGAATTCAAGCCCCACAACCAATCCAAAAAAAAAAAATGTGAGTATAGAAGAAAAAAATTTCCAGAACCTTTAAAATTTTGTCTTGAGGATGAACACATGATCATTTTAATAGTTTGTGCATGTTCTGTAAATGCATGGCTTATACATTGAAAACAACCAGAGGAACAAGACCCAGTCTCATGTAAATAGTCTGCAGTTTAATTATTAGCAGCATACTTGGGATATGTTTGGCGATAGAACTGTTAAGTTTGGGTCATGGAACATCATAGAGTTATTTCAGTTTTGCTTTATGCCGTATGTTGCAGGGGTTGTGGACTTACTGTAGTAGTCAAAAGTCTCACATAGGAAAAATTTAAGTCCTTTTGAAGTTTTTTTCTTTTCAACTTTATACATAAATTTTTGTTTTCTTAACTAAGTTATACTTCAGTTTACTTCTGTTACTGATGCTTAATACAGTTTTTTTCGCACTGTCTTAATTGATACTGAATAGTATTACCCCTGTTTTTGTTTTCCTGAAGATTTAAAAGCAAGTGGCATTTTTTATTATAATAAAGCATAATTAAGATACTTAAAAGAACCTACATTAAGTAATCCAGGCTGTGAAAGCTCTCTATGAGCTAGTCCATAGTATCTCAGAATGATAATTTTAAAAAACTCAAGCATTTTTTTTTGAACAGCTGGGTAAACCGAAAACAGATAAACAGAAGCAATAAAATTCCAAGATAATAGAGGGAAAAGGGAGAAAACCTATGTATGGGCAGCGAGTGGGTTTCCCATAATTGTTGTTATTAATTAGTATCCTAGTAGAACAATACTTGTTGTAAAAACATAAGGATGATAATCTATACTCCAAGAATTACTTGTGTTCTTAAATATAGCTCTCAGAAGGTGGCATTTCAACAAAGAGATAAATATCATGTATTTCCAGTGTTAGATTAAGTACTCGTGGTGGAACCTATGAATTCCCCATATATGGTGAAATAGTATTCCTCAGAACCTTGCTGCACACTTGGCACTTGGACGTGCAATAGCATCATCGCCTGGGAGCTTGTTAGACCCACCTGGTTTCAAGTCTTACCCTGACAAGCATAATCAAAAATTTAACATTTTAGCAGCAGTCTTGGGTGAGTCACACACATGTTAAATGTGAGAAGCAACACCCCAGGTGTTTCTCTTTGTACCCTTACCCATTAATTATTAACTGTAGGTCACTCTGTCGTGCCACAGACGGTGTAAATTAGTATCCCTGTTGACTCTGCTGAAAACCACAACCTTGTGGTCGCCCGCTCCTTAGTGGGCGTCCGTGCATAGCACAGCTAGCGTGATACCTGCCTGTCGCCTGCCTTTTCAGGTCCCCTTGCCCAGCACTCTGCCCCTCCCCAAGAGGGAGGCTGCACAACAGAGCTCCAGCCTCACTTCCGTTCCTCCCACTACTTTCAGCCTCACCTTTAAGGTATGTACAACGTACATCTCGAAAGGTCCATTATTAATGATTGCATGCACCAGTACGTAAACTAGAGAGAATTTATACTTTAAAACCTTACTAACTCTTAACACCACTTAACAGTGGTTTGATACCCTCTTCTTTAAAGCAAGCCCTATTGTGCTGTCTTTAAAATACAGGACATTTCTTGTTTGTGATTTATTTTCCAATAAATAATAATGGTAAGAATGTTGGTTTGTTTTGTTTTGATTTTGTCTTTCCTGAGTCATGAATGAATTGGAATAATACAGGGTAGTGACAAATATTAGATGAAAGAGCAGTTAAAACAAGTTGTTTGCCTTGGGGTTAAGAGCTTAAGAAGAACAGGATATGAATTGTGGTGCTTGTTCGTGATCTGAGCAAATGTAACGTGACTTCTGTTACAGTTGGTCTTTCTGATGCATTGGTTGACAATGAATTTAGATAGCTTTCAAGAGAAGGAAAGAAAACCAAGTCTTTAGTCATGTGAACATTGTTGGTTTCTGGACTCTTCTGTTTGAGTCATAAGCCTCATAATAACTTTCAGACTTGGAGATGGGAAATTTTATATAGCTAACTTGTGCTTTGTGTCTTCCTGGTTATAGCCACCAGTCACTTAACAGTTTGCTACTAACTCCTGTTTGCTTTTACTGTTGTTTTTCCAGTTGAATGAATGTCTCAACCTGTGTTCTTTAGTCTTACAATGTATATGATTTTTATCATTAGAATAGAATGCCACATAAGCAGATGTATTATCTTCTGTAATGATTTTTAAACCAGCCAATTCTGTAAAATCCCTATTCAACTTTGCCTTTCACTCATGTGGAGTCATTCAGTTAAGTTGCATTACCTTAAAACTTCCTCTGGTTCCATTTATTTTTATTTTTTATGTCATCTCTCTGAGAAGTGAATAAATTACTAAAAGGTTTTGTTTGGATTTCATTGACTGTATATGCAATTAAATATTGTTAATTAGTTTGCTTGAAGCCAGAAATAGAACATTTTAGTTTGTTGTGAATGATTTAGTTTAATGTTTGGCATGTTAGGGTTGGAACTCTTACCTTGTGCTTGTAGCAAGCACTCTGCGACTTCCTACCCTAGGCTTCTCCTCAGAATGTGTGTAATTATGGCAGTCATTAAGAAAAGGTTAAGTAGTATGTGTATTTTTTTTACAGGAAATAGAATAAAATATGTACTATTTCTCAAATTTTTAAAGTAGGTTAAAACTTCAGAAATGTGTACCTCAAACACCCAGTTTCCTAACAGTGCTATTAAAGGTTGAATGTGCCAGATGGCAGTGCTTGGGCCTGTAATCCTAGCTGCTCAGGAGGCTGAGATCTGAGGATCACAGCTCAAAGTCAGTCTGGGCAGGAAAGTCCACAAGATGCTTAAACTCCAGTTAACCCATCAAAAAGCCCTAAGTGGAGCTGTGGCTCAAGTAGTGGAACACTAAAAGATCAAGAATAGCACTCAGGCCCTCAGCTCAAGCCCCAGAAATGGCAACAACAACAAAAATTGCTTATATAAACCGTTACAACTCAGTCTTAAAGAGATTATCTTCAACCCGATTTTTGCACTGCACTGGTTTTGCTAAAAATCTTCAAAATATGCACTTTTCTTATTAAATATGCTCATATTTGTGATAATTGTCTTGTATGCTCCAGTTGTGTCTCATTAGGTATGTGTAGCTATTGATCACGTGAACTATGTCTAATTTGAGGTATGCTATAAGAACAAAATACTAGAGGGCTGGTAGATTGTCTCAGTTTGAGTAAAGGAGCAAATGAAAAATGTAATCATAGGGTTATATTTTATGTTAACATTGTTATAAATATCTATGTTATTGCAGATGGAATCTGCACGCAAAGCGTGGGAGAATTCTCCGAGCATAAGGGAAAAGGGGTCTCCAGTAACCTCCACAGCTCCCCCACTGGCAGCTGGAGTCAGCAGTAGCACTAGTGGACCCGGCCCTGCTAACTACAGTTCATTCTCTAGTGCGTCTGTGCCTCCGATTCCTGTGGCTTCTGTCACTCCTACAACATCACTGTCTGGTAGAACTGCTTTTATACCCTTCCCTTAAATCTTTTTTTTTTTTTTTTCTTTTTTTGGGGGAGGAGAGGAGGGCCTTGAACTTAAGGGTTTGTAAGTTTTATTGCTCAAGGCTAGCTCTACCACTCTGAGCCCCAGCTCCACTTCCAGCATTTTGGAGATAGGGGTCTTGTGGGCTTTCCTGCCCAGACGTCACACCCCAATCCTCTGATCTTAGCCTCCTGAGTAGCTAGAATTGCAAGCATGAACCACTGGTACCCGTGCTTAAATATCTTTTTGTTGTACTGGAGATTGAACCTAAAGGTCATAAGCAGGGCTGGGAAGGTGGCTCAGTGGTAGAGCCCTTGCCTTGCAGGTATGAGGCCCTGGGTTCCATTCCTCAGCACCAGATAAGCAAAAAGAAAAAAGCAGAAGTGGTGCAGTGGCTCAAGTGGTAGAGCGCCAGCCTTGAGGGACAGTGAGAGTTCAAGCCCCACTACCGTACCCAAAAAAAAAAACTAAGGGTCTTAAGCATTCTAGGTAGGCACTCTACTATTGAGCAACATCCTCAGCTTAAATATCTTTGATTATTTAGAATTTCCTATAATCTTCATGTTTACTAAGGGTCTTAAGCATTCTAGGTAGGCACTCTACTACTGAGCAACATCCTCAGCTTAAATATCTTTGATTATTTAGAATTTCCTATAATCTTCATTAAACATGAAATAGTTATCGTTTCTTTTATAAACTACTCCTTTACCCTCTCAGAATTTGGATTAGTATGAAAAACATTTTATTGGTGGCTTACTAAAATAGATTTTGCTAGATCCTCATGCATACTCCGGATACTAGATCAGGAATTGATGAAAAGAAATAATATCTTCTAAATTTTTCTGTAAATTTACCTTTTAATTTGCATTTTCACATATACACAGCTACTTAGATCACAGAATGGCACGGTGTTTAAATAGTTTACAATCTATCAAATTTAAAGGTACCATTTGCCTAAGCCTGTGGGAGTAATTTATTTTTTCTAATGACGTTTTATATGTAAAGCCAGGTTCAGTGTACATGTACAAGGGAGTGGGAATGAAGACAGAAAGCATTGTTAGGGCCATCTCAAAAAGCTAGACAAACAGAAGTTTTCTGTAATTCCAGCCATGCACGAAGAGTTGATAGGAGGGTCATGGTCCCAAGCCAGCCCTGTGGAGCAAAGGGGTTAAAGAGTTAAGAGTTCCCACCTGAATAAAGGAAAGAAGTATTATAAATGTGGCTCAATTGATGGGGTACCTAGCTAGCTAGCAAGCTTGAGACCCTGCTTTCAAACCTCTAGTAACACTGAAAATAAGAAGTAACTTTTGGTTAGTTGTATTTTGTTTGTGTTTGAGGAGGTGTAGGCTGAAATGCATTATATTTTGGGTTGGTGTGGTTTGATTGGGTTGTTTACTCCAATTTTGAATTTGTTTTGGTTTGTTTACTTTGATTGTCTTATTAGTGCCTGAGGTTAGTGTTTTTCTTCCCTATTTTCTTAAATTTTCACTGATGTAGAATCTTTTCAAACTGTCCATTTGGACCCTCTCTGCCTCTAAAAGAAACAAATTTTCCTAAAATGCTTGACTCTAGAAAAATTGCACCCTTTACTTAATATATAATCATGGTTCTTATAAAATAGCTAAAATAGATATTTTGGCTGAGTACCAGTGATAGCAGTATTATTGTACCAACTAGAATTTTCAGTTTGTTCTGTTTATATTACTGTGATCACATAGCTCATTGATTAACACACTTAATTGCCTCTTTAGGGTCTAAATTCTACAATTTCACCTCATTACTCATCTTTATTTGTATCTTAAGATACATCAGTTTCACAGAAGAGAAAAATCTAATCTTAATGAATGACTTTCTTAGGAGTAATTATGATCTCTCAAGGCCCATTTGCATTTATAATTAGACCTACTATGCAGCACTTGTTCTGGTCATAAATGAGTGGAAATATAAATTATCCTGTTTTTTTTTTTTTTTTTTTTTTGGTCAGTTGTCGGGCTTGAACTCAGAGCCTGGGCCTCTTTTGTTCAAGAGTCACAGTTGCATTTCTTAACTACCCTTTTACTCAGTCTTTTTTTTTTTTTTTTTTTGTCCGTTGTGGGGCTTGAACTCTTAGCTCTTCATATCAAGGCGAGCACTCTACCACTTGAGCCACAGCCCCACTTCTGGCTTTTTCTGCTTATGTGGTGCTGCAGAATCCAACCCAGGGCCTCATGCATGCAAGGCAAGCGCTCTACCACTAAGCCACCAGCCTTTTTTTTTTTTTTTTTTAAACTGTCTTATATTTACTTCTGGCTTAAGGCAATTTGAGAATGGTTTCAGGTCCCATCCCTGATCATAACTGAAATCTGAATCCTCAAATCATTTCCATAAAATGCCATATTTGCATATGTCCTACATATACCCTCTAGTATACATTGAATTGCTTCTAGATTGCTTAAAATAACACAGAGCAGTGATACTAGATACTACATTAAAAATGAACTATACAGCTTGTGGGTGGGGATGGGAGGAACAACTGAGATAGAACAAGGGAAGGGGCGACATTGTCTAAAAAGAAATGGACTCTTTATCTGACTTTTTCTCAGAATTTTTCAGTACTACAGTACTTGAATACTCCAGTGTAGAGCCCATCCATATGAAGAGCATACTTTATATATTGGGTATAAACATTAATTTTCTCAGTTCCTGGTTGGTTTTTTTTAAATATGCTGTATTTTCCTCTTGTCCCTTCACCAAATACAGGAGCTGGTACATACACTACCTCTTCTTTGAGTACAAAATCTACGACCACATCAGACCCTCCTAATATTTGTAAAGTGAAACCGCAACAGTTACAGACAAGCAACCTGCCTTCTGCAAGTCATTTTTCACAGCTAAGCTGTATGCCTTCTCTTATTGCCCAGCAGCAACAGAGTCCACAGGTTTACGTTTCTCAGTCTGCAGCAGGTAATATTGTAAAGAGTGGCAAGAATGAAGATTTTTTAACATCCTTTTTTTTCTCTTTGCTAATGCTTTCCAGATTAGATATTTTTTTATATGCTTTATAAATATGTCCCTCTACAGAGTTTAATTCTATCCCTCCTTAACAAGAATTTTAGGACTCTCGGACACTGTGGATCTGTACCAATATTTCTCGTACATTTCTGACACATGACGATCTGATAGCTTGCAAACTAATATATAATATAAGTATGCCATATTTATATGCCATATTTTCATACAAATAAATAATGAAGGTTACAGACTGAGAGTAGAGTATCTGAAACTTTTGAATATGACAGTGTTCATCTGTAATATTTGAAGTACCTAAACTCAGTAATCATTTAAATTTAAAATAGGTGCATTTTTTTTATCTTGTATAAGGTTAGTAAGTACCGTCTGTTAATAATCATTACCTATCAGTTATTATCTGCCTATACGAGGCAGTATTAATACTATATATTGACATAATTATTTTTGAAAAATGTCTTAGAAGATTTATGAGTATATAATATCACTGTAGTTAACAGATGTAAGAGTCCTATCTGACAACTATGATAGTGACAAATTAAAAGTTGTGAGTTTCCTAGAGTATACTGCTGTATAAAAACAATCACAAGCCGGGCGCTGGTGGCTCACGCCTGTAATCCTAGCTACTCAGGAGGCTGAGATCTGAGGATCACGGTTCAAAGCCAGCCCGGGCAGGAAAGACTGTGAGACTCCTATCTCCAATAAACCACCAGAAAACCAGAAGTGGCGCTGTAGCTCAAGTGGTAGAGTGCTCGCCTTGAGCTAAAGAGCTGAAGGACAGAGCCCAGGCCCAGAGTTCAAGCCCCACGACTGACAAAAACAAAAAAATAAAAATAAAAAAAAAAACAATCATAAAAGCTGTGTGCCAAGTGGCTCACGCCTGTAATCCTAGCCACTTAGGAGACTGAGATCTGAGGATCACAGTTTAAAGCCAGCCCGGGCAGGAAAGTCCGTGAGACTCTTTATCTCCATAAAAGCACTAGAAAACCAGAAGTGGCGCTGTGGCTCAAGCGGTAGAGTGCTCTCCTTGAGCTGAAGAGCACAAGGACAGTGCCCAAGCCCAGAGTTCAAGCCCCATGACCAACCCAAAAAAAAATCACAGAGTAGTCAGATATGTTGTGTTAAATACACTATATACTAGTTAAGTTTCTGCTAAATTGTAATGAGAATATTTCAGATGGAGTACATTGCTTGTTGGGTGTGTGGGTTTGTTTATGAAGCGTTACTACCATAGTCTCTTCACGATAACCTTTTTTTTTTTTGCTGGTTGTGGGATTTGAAATCAAGCCCTGTGCTTTCCCTGCTTACTTGCTTGGTTGGTACTCTGCCACTTAATACTTGCTTTCAACCTGGCTTTTTGCTGTTCATTTGGAGGTGGAATCTCATGGACTTTTGGCACAGGCTGGCATTGAGCTGCCCGTCTCCTGAGTAGCTGAGGTTACAGATGTGACCCACTGGCGCCAGCTTATATTTTACATCTCCTTCTCTCTCAAAAATTTTACATCTTTTTGAATTGGCATGTTCTTACATTTCTAATTTTTCAAATGTAACTGTTTTCATATGATTCATTTGAAATCTCTATAAAACTATTTGCTATTTGGAAAACGTTGAAATTTAGACAGTTACTATTGTTTGTTATGTTTTGTTTTCCTGATGGTCTACAGCTCAAATCCCAGCTTTCTATATGGACACAAGTCACTTATTCAATACTCAGCATGCACGGTTAGCTCCACCACCCCTCGCTCAGCAACAGGGCTTTCAGCCAGGTCTCTCCCAGGTAAACATCAAAGACTACTTTGTCCTATATTCGTTTCTTGACATTTTTATGGTTTTAATATTTTTGTTGAACTTCCATAATAAGCTCCTTGGTGTTCTATACTTAACTTACATAGTTATGTTCTTACCTTGCATAAGGGACTAGCAGAATTTTTAAACTTCTACAAATTTGCCAGTGCTGAATTCAGCTAGCTAATAATGTTAAATTAATTGAAGGGGAAATGTGTGTAAAATAAATTAATATTCTATTCTCGTGTCTTGTTTTTTTCTGAATCTTCTAATTTGTATTACGTGTTCATATGTTGCATATATACCATTTACGTATGCATGTACTTTTCACTGTGTTGCAGCCAACTTCAGTCCAGCAGATTCCAATCCCTATTTACGCACCATTGCAAGGGCAGCATCAGGCCCAACTGAGTTTAGGGGCTGGACCTGCTGTTTCCCAGGCTCAGGACTTATTCAGTTCTTCACTTCAACCATATAGGTAATTTCTTTCAAAGTTGTTTGCATTTAATCAAAGTAGTATAGTTCTTGGTTTTCCTTACCATAATCCCAACAACTCCCCCCAAAAGCTGGGGTGACCTTGTGGTAAATCATACTAAATAATTCAAGCATCTTAGTTACATGTTGTGAGCTTCAGTCTCTGATAATTCAACCTCAGATTATCTTGATAAAGTAGGCAACAGCTCCCACACATTGAAAATAGCTGCTGAGAACCATAAAAGTTTACTTCATAAATCTGTTTAAGCTGAGGCATGGCAAATAACTACCATATGTTAGGAACGGAGAACTGAAAAGAAAGGAGTAAATATAATGTCAGGTAAAGAACAGAAGCAGTATGATAGTGGTGACCAAATAAGCTATATTGTACAAAAGAAAAACGAAAGTTAGATGCCCTTATTTACCATTACAATTAGAATAATAAAAACATTTTATTAACTGTTCCTTACATGTGATAACTGTCCAACCTTTCACATGTAGTAAATTGTATGCTTTCCAACCAATATCAATGGAAATTGGGCATCAAGATATAGCATTTTTACCCCAGATTACAATGTAAGAGACAGCCTGGGTTGAACCCCAGGATCTCTGTTCTTCTCTATTTGACTTAACAGTAGGAATTGTGTTGGGAGAGTCAAGTGGTAGGAAGGACGCACCATGACATAGGTTGCTGTTACATGTGTTGAAAGGTAACTTGTATTTAGTTAGATGATAGACACAACTGCAGGGCTATCTATTTGCCTTTGGATATTTGTTTTCTTTTTTTTTTTTATACATGGTTTACAACTTCTATAACTTCTAAGTTTGGCTTCAATTGGTAAGCTTATTTCTTTTAGATAATACCTTTTACTTTTTTGTTTTGATTAAAAGTTTTCGGTAGAATCTAGTATGTCTGTATTGTTACAGGTATAATACTTCCTTTTTATTCTGGTCTTACTGTTTTATTTAACTGGGCTATTTCTTTTTTTGGAGGGGGGGTTCAGTCATGGGGCCTGAACTCTGGGCCTGGGCGCTGTCCCTCAGCTCTTCAGCTCAAGGCTAGTGCTCTACCACTTGAGCCACAGCGCCACTTCCGGCTTTTTTCTTTTTTGCTTATGTGGTGCTGAGGAATCGAACCCTGGGCCTCAGGCATGCAAGGCAAGCGCTCTACCACTGAGCCACCTTCCCAGCCCCTGGGATATTTCTTTTACATTCTTCTGTAGAATTGTTTACCCTTATAGAAGATGGAAATAATTTCTTTTTTTGTTTGTTTGTTTGGGTTTTTTTAAACTGTATTTTTTTTTTCTTGTCTTTTCTTTTTTGGTACTGGGGATTGAACCCAGGACATTGCACTTGCTAGGCAAATGCTTTGCCACTGAGCTACATCCAGCCCGGAAGTAATTTCTTTCATTCTCAAAAGCCAGGGTTGTTTTTGCTGTTGCTGGAGATCAGATCCCATTAATTGATGCTGGCTGCTTGAAACAAAGTTTCCATTGTGTGTTTTGTCAAAAAATACAATGATAAATTAGTATTGTCCACCATAGCCAGGGAAAATATAGTAGCAGTGCACTACATATGTAATTGTAGCAAATATATACTGTATTGGAAAGCACAGGTTTAGATTTTTCAGAATATTATGTCCCTAAGTACAGTTTGTTTTGGTTTCTAATGTTTGGGAGTTTTTGATTGGTTTTGTTTTTATGGCACCACTGAGCACCCCCATTGTTTTTTGCCTGAGCTAGTCTAGGTCTCAGTCCTACTGAGGCTTCCTGTATACCCAGGTTTGAGGTGTGAGCAACACGCAGCTACTGTTTGCTTTCTTTATAACCTCATCGGCATAGTCCTTATTTAGGACATTGCTGACTTAATTTCATCAAGGACAGGATAGGATATAGGATATATTAAACAGTATGTTCATTTTTTTTCCCCATATTTAAAACAAATTATAAAGCAGACAGTATGAAGATTTACTTATCTAACTATCACACTTGCTTAAATTACTGGCTTTTTCTTTTTTTTTTTTTTTGTCGGTCGTGGGGCTTGAACTCTGGGCCTGGGCGCTGTCCCTCAGTTCTTCAGCTCAAGGAGAGCGCTCTACCACTTGAGCTACAGTGCCACTTTCGGTTTTCTTGGTGGTTTATTGGAGATAGGAGTCTCACAGTCTCTCCTGCCCCGGCTGGCAGTTCTTAGAAACTTAGAAGTATAGTTTTGAGGCATCTTTCCCAAAGATGACAAGGAAGCCTTGGGTTAAAGTCCAGTATTAAGTTTTTAGAAAGGAAGTAAACCTTGTGCGAATCCTGATTAAAGCTACATTGCTGTAATTTATAGAGGACTTAGAGCTATATGTATAGGAAAATAATAAGACACAAATAATGAAAGGGTTGTTCAGTACTATAAGTTGGAATTTAATTCCCAAAGATAAAAATAAATTTAGTTGTCAGCTTCACAGTAAACATAAAAAGAGAATCATTTTCATAATTCAAGAAGTAACGACAATCGGTTTCTTGGCAATAGTAAGCTTTTTGCAGAATTTCTATATGTGGAATTTTGTTAGATGCAGATCTCTAAATCTTGAAACAGTAGGAACAATTTGTATTCTCTGCCACTTTTCTTCAGTTGTGTGCTAATTGCAGTGCTTGGTCATCTTAAAATAGTCATTCTTAAGAATTTTAGATCCCAAATAAAATGAATTTGTAACACAAGCTTTTCCTATTGTGTACGTAGGTCTCAGCCGGCCTTTATGCAAAGCAGTCTTTCCCAGCCATCTGTGGTGCTTTCTGGAACTGCTATCCACAACTTCCCAGCTGTACAACACCAAGAGCTTGCCAAGGCACAGTCGGGTCTTGCCTTCCAGCAGACTTCAAATACTCAGCCTATCCCTATATTGTATGAGCATCAGCTGGGGCAGGCATCAGGACTGGGAAGCTCCCAGTTGATTGATACACACCTTCTCCAGGTAAGGCAAAGGCCAGAACAACGTACAATCATTGTATTCCGATTTCAAAATACATCCAGAAAGAAAAAAATAATTTCCTGACACTGGTGGCATATACCTATAATCGTAGGCACTCAAGAAACTGAAATCTGAGGATCTCAGTTCAGAGTCAGCTGAGCAGAAACTAGTTCATTAACTAGCAAAAAGCTGGATCTGGAGATGTAGCTCAAATGGAAGATTAAAGTCTTTTTATCTACTGCTAGTATTGTTAACAGTTTGCTTTGAAATACTAGTCTCCATAGATGAATTAGCAATTTTTCATTAATTTACTGCTGCTTTTAATTTTTTTTTTTTTTTCTTTCCTAGGCTAGAGCAAATCTTACCCAGGCTTCAAATCTTTATTCTGGACAAGTACAGCAGCCTGGTCAAACAAATTTTTATAACACTGCCCAATCACCAAGTGCTCTCCAGCAGGTAAACTATGGCATGGTAAATTTCCTCACTTTTCTTTTTATTATTATTATTATTAAAATTTGAATATTTATGGAGTGGAGGTAAAAAAGCTTGGTTTTCAAACTTCACTGCAGAAGCCTGGGAACGCCTTTGTGTCCACTAGGAGGAAGTGAGGGCTTCATTCAGTCTCTTCGCACCAGTCTCCGCACTCCTCCCCAGAACCTTACTTCAGGCAGTTCTGGTTATGCCTCCTATATTCAAAATATGTTTCCATATCATAGTTTATTTGGACCAAAAAAAAATCCATGAACATGGAAGTTTGAAAACCATCTTTTAAGTATAATTAAGATAGATGATTTACCCATTTAGTGTTAGAAGTAAAGGAAGACTAAAGAATTTCAGGCCAGGTTGCTGGTGGCTCGCGCCTATAATCCTAACTAATACTTGAGGTGGGGGTGGCAGAGGATGACAGAGAACAAATGACAAATGCCTAAAATACGGATTCAGTAATACTTTAGAGTATTTTTCACATTTAGAGTGAAAAATTGGTTGAATTTTTTAAAATGTTAATGAGCTTTAAAAGCTGATGAGATGCTGACAAAAGGCAAACTAACATGTATATGAGAATCTGATGCGTGTCCATTCTCATTCAAGTTTACTCAAGTATTTTGTAGTTATTTAATGTATACTGTGGACAGTTTAGTCATAATTATTTCAGAACTCCAGCCATACGCTACCTGATATTTCTACTAACAGACTGGTTGATATTTTTAAGATAATATGTAAAGTGTGTACACCCATGTACTGGAGGTCGAGGTAGGAGAATGTGACTTGAGCCCAAGATCTTTAAGGCCAGCCTGGGCAGTACTGCATGCCCTGGTCATCTCAAAAAGAAGTCACCTTAGTTTGTGGAGGTAGCCTCTCATTCTGTACCTGGTGAAGTTGCCCAAGCCGCGAGACGTTTGCCACCACTAAGTCCTACCTGACTGTTTGTTGTTTTATGAGTACAATGCATCTCTTAATTTTGTACATTAAGTAGTGGTACAAAGGAAGTGCCTATAACAAAGTAGCTTATGAATACACTGCACTTGGTCAGTGCCACCCCTTAACATTCTCACCCCCTTCCACCCATTTCTTCCCTTACTTTTTGTTGTACATTAAACAAAAGAATGAAGGCAGTAACTTACTAAAGCTTAAGATTTGTGTCTGAGACATATCAGTTACACCTATTGTGTATATATACACAATAATCATAAGCAAATTGCTGCAGTTTTTGTTTGATTGCTTTCTAGGTTACAGTACCTTTGCCAGCATCCCAGCTTTCCTTGACTAATTTTGGATCTACAGGACAGCCTCTGATTGCTTTGCCTCAGACTCTTCAGCCCCCATTACAACATAGCACCCCACAAGCACAGGCTCCAAGCCTGAGCCGTCCTCCACAAGTAGGCCAGGCTTTCCGAGGGTTAATCCCTGCTGGGACTCAGCATAGCATGATGGCCACCACAGGAAAGGTAAGTAAACAGAGACTTGGACAGCCTCTTTCAGAGTTTAAAGCTGGATGTTTGTATCATCTACATAGTCTATCAAAATAAATCTGTTTTTTAACACCCTGCAAAAAAGAAACCCTCAGATAACGCAGATGTAAGACACGTTGTGGAGAAGTTATGTTTACAGAGTCCCTTACTTAGTGTAAGTCTTAACTGCCTTGTTGATTCCATGGAATTTGAAGCCTAAAAGTTTTCCCTAAGGTCTTTACCTCTTTTCTGGATTGAGCCTTTGTATTTAAAGATTAAGTGCTGTACTTAGCTTATGAAACTGAAAGAATGTTAAGTTTTATTTTATACTTTTTCTCAGATGTCTGAAATGGAACTGAAAGCCTTTGGAAGTGGCATTGATATAAAGCCTGGCACACCTCCAATCAGTGGTAGAAGCACCACACCAACATCTAGTCCCTTCCGGTAAGATAGACACTTAAGTACTTCAAAGTAACGGATCACCATGTGTTAAATACTTAAAGACTCATTATAAATCTAACGGTGTTTCTCATTTGGTGCTACTGTACTGACCAGTGATGGATTCCTTCCAAGGGCTACTTCAACAAGTCCGAACAGCCAGTCCAGCAAAATGAGCAGCATTGTCTATCAGAAGCAGTTCCAGTCAGCCCCTGCGGCTGTGAGAATGACACAGCCATTTCCTACACAGTTTGCTCCCCAGGTAGGTAGATAGAAGAATGAGTGTGGTTTACTCAGATTCGATCGTTAGTCTGAGTAAATGTCCAGTTTTACGATCTTACATGTTAGTCAGTTTACCAAGAACTTTTGAATGGAAAATCTCCAGATTCATATATGTTTATGGTATTCAGGTGCATTCCTTGAAGTATGTAGCTCAACACAGGCAGTAATTGTTTAGTTGGAAAGCAGACGAGAAATTCTTAGAAGAGTCCCCACACAGCTCTGGTCATTTGAAGCCTGTTCTTTTATCTTTTTTTGAGGAAGCTGATTTTTCAACGAAGGGTCCCAATGCTTGCTGTTTTCTAGGCCCCAAGTGGTTTTTATATGTTAAGAGTTTTTGTGCAGCTTAAGTAAAATTTTCAGGAAGATGTTTTCAGTAAATATGTAAAAAATGGCTTTTCTTCCCTTCATTGGTCATATTGAAAGACTTAACAAAAAATTGATAAAAATGTTTCACAAACTTGAAACACACAATTGTTAGACTAGGTCTGTTTATCATCAAATTGCATTTGTTTTAGATGTGGATCTCTTCTGCATTCATACCTTTCTTAAAGATACCCTAATTAATAGCCTTTCTACTCAGTTACTCGATTTAGGGTCTAGCTGAGAAGCTAGAACCAACTGAAGTGCCAGAGAGTACTTTGCCTAATTTTTCTGTTCAACTTTCCAATCACAGCCTGCCTGTCCTTTGTCCTCATTAATGAAATAACATAACCCATAAACTGCCTTTCGTTGGCACAGTGGGCAGGTTTACTCTGGGATAAGCAGACCCGGTCTGATGGGCAATTTTTTTTTTAACAGTTGAATGTTGTATGTTTTGTCTTTTCACTCAGATTCTCTCCCAGCCTAACCTGGTCCCTCCATTGGTAAGAGCCCCACATACTAACACCTTCCCAGCGCCTGTACAGAGGCCGCCAGTGGCTCTGGCCAGCCAGATGCCTCCTCCGCTGACCACAGGCCTCATGAGCCACGCTCGTGTGCCACACGTAGCCAGGGGCCCTTGTGGATCACTGTCTGGAGTCAGAGGTAATCAGGCCCAGGCTGTGCTGAAGGCTGAACAAGATCTGAAGGTTAGTACAGCGTTAACAGCCAACAGATCAAGAGTCTGTCTCTGAACGTCTTAAAATGCCTCGGGACCCACGGTCACAAATCCGGGCATTCATTGTGTTAGCATACTAAACCACGCTAACGACTTTGATTCCTTCCTTTTTTTTTTTTTCTTTTTTTTTTTAACTTTGATTTTTTGTTGTTGTTGTTGTTTTTTCCTCCCACCTACCCTCACCTTTTTCCCCTTTTTTTTTTCTTTTTTGTTTTTTGGTTTGTTGGAGTTGGGATTTGGGGTGTTTTGTTAATTGGTTTTGGGGGTTGGGTTTTTTGGGTTTTTTTCTCTTTGGGGGATTTTTTTTGTTTTGTTTTTGTTTTTGCAACTATAGTCAGCAAATTAACATTTTAAACTCTGCGGCCAAATGAATTGCTTGTAAAACAAGTGTTTGAAGGAGATCTGAGTTCATGTATTACATTTTTTTGAAATAGCAAAGAAGTAATATGGTTGGGTGGTTTATAAGCTTCCTCATTTTCTTTTTCTTTTTTTTTATTCCTTGTTTTTCTTCCTTACCTCTCCCTATCCTGCCCCCACTGCAAAATGTAGCTTAATATGTAATCATGGTTCTTTGAAAGCTCTGAAATGGGTAAGACTTGTTACTATCTTGACCTTTCTTCCTTTATAAGTCACTTGAAATTTCCGCAAGCAGTGTTCACATAGTGTTTTGCCTGCCACTTAAGGAAGCCATTTTCCACAACGTGCAGTTGTACATGACAAACTTAAAAGCACCTTGGGATCCTTCATGATGAAAGGCACAAATAAACATGAGGTTTACTAAAGCAGGTGCCTTTAGGAGTCTGTGTGGGGACAGTTCTTGGAGCATAAGCCTATCTGTCTGCCTGTCCAGCCAGTTGCAGTGTTTCACTGAAGATTAGCTTCAGAGCTCTTAGTAGGCATTTTGCCTGTTTTGCCACTATGTAGACCAAGAGATTGACTTTAGAGATCTTAGTAGGCATTTTACCTGTTTGCCACTATGTAAACCAGGCTACAACAAAGAACATACTACTTACAAACAGGGGAGTGTACACAGCATGGCTTTATACTAAACTAGAAACATATGTGATGATGCTCTTAAAGAATTCAAATGGCAGAATTTCTTTTTGGAGTTGACATCCTTTGTGTTTCTGATTATGAATAATAATCAGATTATAGACTACCAGAGGCCTTAATATCTTTTATTAGGCCATGTGCCTTGGATTTTTTGTTTTTCACTAAAAAATACTAGTGTGCTAAAAAGCTTTGGAGGTAATTTGGCCTTGGTTCCAACTCTGCTCCTAGCTATTTACCACTTGGTTTTCACACATTCCTATTAGAATTGACATTAGAACTTTTCATGGGGTGGGAGAGGATACAAAATTTCTTAAATTGCTCTAAATCTTTGGTTAGTATAGGTTACCTTGAGAACATGAAGTTTTTTTTGTTATATGGAACTTAAGATTTTATATATATATAATATATATATACATATTACACTGTATATAGTAACGTAAGTATAATCTTTGGGGCACATAGTGAAACTATGAAACTATTTTACCAGCTCAGAATTGTGGTAGGAGCTATCAGAACTTAGTGATCAAGTGAAGTTGTAGTTACTAATTTCTGATGCTCTTCCCCTGCAGAAGAGAGCTGTGGGAAGAGGACTCAGCCACAAGACATTTGGTCCTAGGTGTTGGTAATGCCACAATATAAGTGCTTCCTTTTCATTTTATTGTAGACCACATATTGATAACTAGAAGTTTTTTAAGTGTTACATGTATGTTTTCAGACTTGCAAGCAGCCTCCTTGAATAAAATATATCAATAAGCTATCCCAGAAAAGATACAGTCCAGCAGCAATTTGTATTTTATTGCTAAGAGGGCAGACTCTGGAAAAATGGTGGGAGGTGGTTCTTGTTTCAAATGTAAAAATAAAAATATAATGGAATATTTCCAGAGATAAGAAGAAGTCTATACATTGAAAGTTGAAAGATCAATGAGGTACTTTTGGCTTGGGCCAAACCAAGATAGAGAAAAATGATTTGTGATTGGTAAAAGAACTTGGACTGAGATTGATTTGACAGGATTAGATAATGCTGAAACATTTTAAATTATTGTTTCTCATTTTTTTTTTTAAGGCAAAGCAGAGAGCAGAGGTTCTTCAGTCCACGCAGCGGTTCTTCTCTGAACAACAACAGAGCAAACAGATAGGAGGCAAAGCTCAGAAAGTGGACAGCGATTCAAGTAAACCTCCTGAAACACGGACCGACCCTCCTGGTGTTTGTCAGGAAAAAGTAGAAGAAAAGCCGCCCCCTGCACCCGCCATAGCTACCAAGCCCGTTAGAACTGGACCAATCAAACCTCAGGCAATCAAAACTGAAGAAACAAAATCGTAAAGGCTGTAGTTTCCTGCAGGGTATGGAGGGAGAATAGGGAGAATGAAGTCTGATAATGCCAGCAGCCACAGAGGAAAATTGGTCTGTGACGTTACCTTGTGTAGAGCTTGGAGAGATGCACATGGGGCACAGGAGCAGTTACATTGACACACAGCTGCTGTGCCCGTTCAAATGAACCTTCGCAAGCTAACATCTATACAACTTTCACTCAATTGATGGACATGCATCTTAAGTCAGAATGTATATACAGATGCATGCACATAGTCCTTGAGTGCATACACCTTAGATCTAAAAATCTCTTAATGGTTAGGTGAACACCAAAAATAGGAAGAAAGTAATACCACAGAGGATAAACAGTTCAACCTGAACAATGTGCTGGTCCCAGCTAATCCATCAGAACGCTGGGTCTTTACCTCCCTTCCTTGCATTCTTTGGAGATGGTTATGATGTGGATGGTTTGGAAGTAAACTAAAGATAACTGGTGCTGGGTAGAGGAGCCTTATTTTCTATTATGGCAGCTTGCTATTTTTATAACATGGTAATTGGATTGCACACAATCAAAGTACCGTAGTAACTGATCTCCCCTTCCTGGATGAGTGAGCAAATGGTGAACTATTAATGACAGCATCCAAACATGCAGGGCCTGGCTACTCTGTCATCTGGCTCTGTGAGGTTCTCGCCATTCAAACATACAACAGACAGGTTGAGTCTTGCCTGCCTTCACTCGGTCATCTTGGTATGAGTCCAGTGGTTGTGGGGTATGGTTTTTGTTTTGTTGTTTGGGTTTCCCCCCCCCCCTTCCTGCTCCCGCACCTCCATTTTCAAACGGTTTGTAGCTGATGTTCACTAAGAGACTGAGTACTTGGAACTGTCCCACTGATGGAAGGAACTCCTAGCTAAGAAATGCATTTCTTCACAGAGCTGTGTCATACCATCCTTTGGCCCTCTGCTGGAAACGTAGAATCAAGTCTAATAATGCCTTTTTAATTGTATCCTCTAGTATTATAGACGTAGGACAGTACTGTATCATCCCTCTGTGAGTATAAATACCTTGTACCTGCTTTATGATACGTAGTAGTGACTGTGCTTTATCAGAGCTGTTTTTAATGATGTTACTCAAGAATGTTTTCTTTCCAGATGATGATTGAGAAGTTAATAAAAAAAAAATGGTGCCAGGTACCACAACAGTAACAGAACTTCGCATTTTTCTGGGGTTTTGTTTTTTATCTTTTTTTTTTCTTTTTATTAATGGATGTGCTGGATGTCTAATTTTGTTCAGATGACTGCAGAACCTGGAAAAGCTGTTGCTGCTATTGATGCATAACATACTGCTATTATTGGTCTTTTTATATAAATATAAATATATATATACATATATATAATTTGAATTTTTGGAAACTTTAGCTGTGCTGTCAACTTTGGAAAAAGTATCCCAGTTTACCGTGTTGAGTTGGCATTGTACAGAAATTAATAGCCATATTGGTCTAGAAATGTTAAACTTAATTTTTTTCCATTTGTACAGGGGTAAACGCACTGTATTAAATATGTAAGGTCTTATCTACGTGGGTTTGATTACAGAAACTAATAAAGTATTCTCTAAATAATGAATTTTGGTGCTTTCAATCCATTCCTGAAATCTAAAGTTTGTATGTACCAGAAATAATAAATCTTCCAAAGACTTGACTTCTGCCTTTCCATGGCTATGAAGCTTTCTCAGAGTCAGTATTTGCAGGAGATAATAGTTATAGCTTCTTTTCTCAAAGTGGTCAAACTTAGAAATAAAAATAATTTGTCAGGGAGGAATAAATGTAGCAGTTTCCCCATTTTTCTTCAAGAAAAGTTGAAAGACCAAAAAATAGGAAATATGTATTGTACATTTATATTTTGCATATTTCTCTACAGAGTATTTAGCTTACTAAAGAAGACCTAGGACATTAGTTTTTCATTTACTGAGTTCATGTAATGCTGTCAGATTGTGATTGCTTATTCTAAAACTCATACCCAGAACATAACCTTGTAGGCAGAGCTTTAGCAGAACTGATGGTACAGCCACCAGTGTTATATGTGCTTCCTTACTTATGGATAGTATTATTAAGCACTAAAAATATTCCAACCTTGATCTATGCTTTTTTTTCTCAAGATATGCTCTACATTAGTGGAAATGGTATGATAAGGTTGGCACTCTTAACTGTACCAGAGAGCCATGGCCTCTTCACATATTTACCTTTTACCATGCCACTTCTGTTGCCTCTGTTTTTCTTTAAGTAAATTACTTCCAAGTTTTAGGATCTAAAAGGTGACCCACTGTATTACTTGTATTATCTTCACGTATCACCAGGTATGTGTACTCAATTGTATTAACTTAAAATACCACTGTTACCTTGGCCTCGGAGTTGAAAGACTAAATCTAAATGCATTGAGTCCATCTTTTGCAGTGGGGCACCGGTGAGGTGGTTTGGTGGTTCATGCTGGCACCACAAATCAGTGCTTATAAATAGTTCCTTCATTTGGCAAGCCTGAGGGTTACTGTTCGGGGAAGGTAGAACAGTGGTCTAGCTCTGCCATATCATTTGTAAGCTTTGTTTTGAAGTTGGTCCTGCTGCCTTAGCCTCCTGAGTGCTTGCATTTACCTTGTACTTTTGTTGTATCTTGGTTTTGTGCTGGTACTGAGGCTTCAGCTAAGGGAGGGTTCTGGCTCATAGGCTTTACAGCTCACTTTAACTTTTCTGTGTTAAGTTAGAAAACTTGTGTGCTGGTCTTCATGCCTTCAGTGTAGGAATCTCTGGACTTCACTAAAAACAGGGGCTATAGATGGTTTCCCTGAAAGGCTATGCTATTTCTTTGAGATGTTGGCGAGCTTTTTACATACATAGCTGTAGTTTTCAGTTTTGTCTGTAAAGTGGCATGGTTGATTATAAAGAAGCCTGAACATAGGCTTTGTTTTTGTTTTTTGGCACTATTGAGATTTGAAGTCAGGCCATTGTGATTTGAGTCACACTCCAGCCTTTATCAGTTCTGGCTTTTTTTCTTTTTTTCAGAAGTGGGCTAATGTATTTGTCTCCACTAGGCTGGGACCATTTTCCTCTTACCTGTGCCTCCTGCACAGGTGAGCAATAGTTGGAGTTACAGGCATGCATTACCATGGCTGTCTTGCTGAAATGGAGTATCATTAACTTCCTGGCTTCTGTCTGCACTTCCAGCAGTGGGCTGGGAATCACAGAGATACCCAGAGTCACAAGGTGGGCACACAGGATCTCTTCACTCTTCCCACCCCGCCTCCTTTCAGACTGTTGCAGATGAACTACTTGTAGCATTCGACCCCAGAGATGTTGGATGGAAATGCATTTCCCACATCTGCGTCCACACTGACGGGCTGCCTGTGATGTAGAGGAGCATGGGGTGGGTGGTCCACAGACTCCAAGCAGGTCCTGATGGCAGAAAACATTGCAGGACTTGTCCCGCACCTGTCATGGTAGAGCACCGTGTGACTGCAGGAAAGACGTGCTGCTTGGCCTTCAGATCTGACCTGACACATTCGACTAACTCCCTGGCCTCCCAGCAAGTAAACAAGCCTAGGAAAAAGCAGCATCTCCATCTTCATAGCAAGGAAGAATCAGCATCGTCTTCATCCCGTTCCTAAGTCTCTGCTCATAACTGCATCCTGTACACTTCTCAGCACCGTCTTCATCCTGTTCCTAAGTCTCTGCCCGTAACTGCATCCTATACACTTCTCAGCACCGTCTTCATCCCGTTCCTAAGTCTCTGCTCATAACTGCATCCTATACTCTTCTCAGCACCGTCTTCATCCCGTTCCTAAGTCTCTGCCCATAACTGCATCCTGTACACTTCTCAGCACCGTCTTCATCACGTTCCTAAATCTCTGCCCGTAACTGCATCCTATACACTTCTCAGCATCGTCTTCATCCTGTTCCTAAGTCTCTGCTCATAACTGCATCCTATACACTTCTCAGCACTGTCTTCATCCTGTTCCTAAGTCTCTGCTCGTAACTGCATCCTATACACTTCTCAGCACTGTCTTCATCCTGTTCCTAAGTCTCTGCTCGTAACTGCATCCTATACACTTCTCAGCACTGTCTTCATCCTGTTCCTAAGTCTCTGCTCGTAACTGCATCCTATACACTTCTCAGCACCGTCTTCATCCCGTTCCTAAGTCTCTGCTCATAACTGCATCCTGTACACTTCTCAGCACTGTCTTCATCCCGTTCCTAAGTCTCTGCTCGTAACTGCATCCTATACACTTCTCCCCTCTTGGAGGTCTTGATTTTTCTTTTTTCCCTTTTTAAGTTCTATGAAGTTGTAACTCCTTTTCTGTCCTTATTGAAATATCTGGTTTGTTTTTGTGTTGAAGACCTCAAGTGAAGGTTTTTCACTAAAAAGGTCCCCATTTAAAACAGGTATCCTTCCAAAGACATAAATGGATGGCAGTATTGAAACACGATATGGAGCTATGGCTCAAGAGGTAGAGTGCTAGCACAAAAGCTCAGGGACAGCAAACCAGGCCCTGAGTTCAAGCCCCAGGATCACCACCAAAAAAAAAAAAAAAAGGAATATGGGGGAGGGGTCAAAATAGGACATCTCCAAAAGTTTGTAAATTTTTTTGAGTCCAAAGAAATACAAAAGAATTCCAAATGGAGAAAGGTTGTTTCAAGACTTCAATAAGAGTAGTAAAAAGGACATTGATAAAGATGTGTTGTACTCAACCTGATGTTGAATCAAATGGAGAAAGGTTGTTTCAAGACTTCAATAAGAGTAGTAAAAAGGACATTGATAAAGATGTGTTGTACTCAACCTGATGAATCGCAGCTCCCATTGTACGGCTAAAGATAATTATATGTATGTGTGCGTATATGTACATGCATACAGAAAAGTACTTGTATAATAAATTCACCAAGAGGTTTGGGGAAGACAACCTGAAATCTTGGGAAGTGAAAAGCTTTAAGAAGTCAATTTTTTTAAAAAAAAAAAAAAATAAGACTACATGAAATAGAGGAGAAAATATAAGGGTTTGAAGGGAAAGGTTGCATTCAGATAAGCAAGTCAGAGTTCTGAAACATGGTTAAGAGACCACATACCCAAAGATTCAGTGTGGGGGAAGGAATTGAGATACAAATGAAAATCACAGAAAACCCATTCAATAAGATTGAAAATTGTCCAAATCTCAGGGAATAAGGAATTTGGAATCCAGTAACATGGCTAAAATGCCAACTGTACAGAACACAAAAGTGCTCAGCTTCTTTTACCTAGGAAACATCGAAGTTACATCAGACCTTTTCAGCAGAAACCCTAAAACACCAACAATGTATAGAATGATACTCAGCATTTGCAGTAAATATCTGCAAACGAAGATCCCAATATCCAGCAGTTATCTTTAAAACCTGCTGAAATATTTGCCCTCCCTCCACTGTGCCAGAAGCTACTTAGAGAAATCCAGCACATGGATGAAGTCACCATCCTGACTGCTCAATAAGAGTTTTGTGTGAAGCATCAGCTCGGTGTACTAGCAAACTGCTAAGATAACTAAAA